GACACTAGACAGCACTAGATCTAGTCAACACATATTAATTTACTTTCATAGTATTAGGCACATCTAATTCACAAAACAGGGCAGGTAAGATTATTTTTTATATAATTATTTAGAAATTAATTAGAACATTTAGAATTAATTGAACATTATTAATAGTCATTGAGGTGGGGGTGTGTGAGGGTCTGGCTTTTTGTTAATCCCCCCCCCCCTCCCCTAAATCAGAAGGTTATCCAACGCGTGACCTGGCCACATACAGTTGTACATGTGAAAAACATTTTTCTCTCTATTATTATTATGCATTACTGCATCATTCACCCAATCGCCATGAAAACTTGGGAAGCTGTTGAGTACAACCCCGCAAAGGTTTCTGTCATAGGCCCAACATTTGTACATATTTGAGTGGGGACTCCTAACGGAAATATGTGATTTAGCCAGTGGCGTAGGCAGGGGGGGGGGGGGTTAGGGGGGTCATAACCCCCCCCCATCGACCCCTCGGTATATATATATATATATATATATATATATATATATATATATATATATATATATATATATATATATATATATATGGGGGCCCAAAAAAATTTTTTGGGGGGTGGCCCATTTTTTCTAGTTCCGCCACTGTTTATAATGCTAAAAAAATGTCTAGATTACTTTTATTAAACGCCATGTTTAAATAGTTCTTTCGGTTATCGTTGCTTAATAAGCAGGGCCGGCGCTACCTATAAGGTGAACTAGGCGGCCGCTTAGGGCGCTGTCCGTAGGGGGGTGCCAAAAGGGGTTGGAAAAACCTAGGGCGCTAAATAACCTGGCGCCGGCACTGTGCTTAACCAATGTGATGAGATCTAGACTTCTGGCAACTGAAATGAAATATGCAGTACTAGTAAAATGAGATCACCTACAATGCTCTCAAATTGAATCCATGTCAGGGGTGAGCTGTTATTATGGAAACGGCTGTGGTAAAATGGTTTGCCACGAGAGATGTTGTATAACTCTTTGCCGCAGGCAGATCATGTTATCACTACACAAAACTAAACACGTTTTCAAGGAAGTCACAAAGTGTTGACTAAAGGATACCAGAGTGTCTGAAATAAGAACAACAGGGTAGACGTCACGGGTATTGCAGTAAGAACGTTGCTTGCGTGTTGAAGTAAGGGCGCCGATAGGGTGTTGTAATAAGGACGTCACTATAGTGTTGAAGTAAGGACGTCACTGGGGTGTTGTAATAAGGACGTCACTGGGGTGTTGAAGGAAGGACATCGGTAATGTGTTTGAGTAAGGACGTTACACAAGACTGTTGAAGTAAGGATGGCAATAGAGTGTTTAATGACGTCATTACAATCTTGAAATAAGGACGTCACAACTGTATTGGATAAAACAAGTTTTAAACCTTTTTACTTTCTCGTATATACGAAGTATACAAATCTCAACGTTTTACACCTCACTGATACGGAAAAACATAATTTTGCAATCTTGTCCGTATGTCTGTGTGTCTCTGTGTGTGTGTGTGTGTGTGTGTGTAAACACGATAACTTGAGTACCGTTACAGCTAGGTTGATGAAATTTCATATATAAGTATTTTATTAAAATCGTAGACCCGTAACAACTTTTGAGCGATTTCCGATAACCGGAAGTGGTATTTTTTCTACTTTGAATTTTTCAAAAGCCTATAACTTGAGAACTATTTCAGATCATCATCATCATTCCTTTGTGGCCCCTGGGGAGCAAAGGGCTGCAACCACACATCTCCATCGGGCTCGGTTTTGGGCTGTCTCCTTTATCTGTGCCCATGTGGGACCAGCTGTTTACGCCTCTTCTTCAATCGTTCTTCTCCATGTCTTCCTTGGCCGGCCCACCATCCTTTTTCCCTGGGGATTCCAGTATATATCATGCCTTGCGATGTCAGCTCGTATTTATAAATAACACTACGGGGGATGGCAAGTTGGGATATAGACCTGATTTTTAACCAATTTTTAATTACGCTGGCTAGTACTTGTCAGGAGATGAATTAGGAGTTAGTTTAAGTAATCAGATTACGACTTAACGGAGTGAGTCGGTAAATGATATCTAACATATGTACGTGCTTATGTAGTGGGGGTGGGAGCACTGTGTGTGAGGGGGGGGGGGATATATCGTGGGGTCTGAAATGAATTACGATGACCCATCACTAAGACACTGGGGGGAGGGGGTTACAGTACAAGTATGTTTTTTTTCTGATAAACTTTTGCTTCCATAGATTTGTCTATCGAGGATCAAATTACAAGGCAGTAGTTGTTTGATTTTTTAAGGAGTTTGCTGTCCCCAGATATCGAAACTTAGCTGGCTTGGGGAATTTTATTTTATTGGGGTTATTTTATAAGGGTCAGTGTTTCTGTGATGACGTGTGATTATAGGAGATGGGGGGGGGGGTGGGTCATTGTGGTTTGAAAACGGGTGAAATGGTGTGACGTAGTTGAGGAGAAAACCCACAAAACAGCCCAGATTTAGGGTCACTTTTGCGGCAGTAAGGTCGGTAAATATTTAAATGCAAGCGGGGCGCATTCTATATGTTACGGCATTCCTGCTTCTATAGCTACCCTAAACCAATAACTTAACATCAGAGCAGGCCATAATGCCAACCCCTGACGCCCCAGAGTTTCTTCCAAGCATCTCACCCCCCCCCCCGAAGAAAGTCTACCCCCCCCCCCCCCCCCCCGAACGAAATAAAATTTATATAGAAAATATATCCTTTTAACAGTGTCCGCCCCCCCCCCCGAAGAAAGTCTACCGCCCCCCCCCCCCCCCCGAAAATTTCAAGTGCCCCCCCCCCCCAGAGAAAAAAGTCTGGAAAAAACACTGCTGTCGCACGACCATAATACCGAGCCTAGTCCAGTTTCTTTTCGGAGCCCCCCCCCCCCCCCGCCCAATGCAGCATTCTGACAACACAAAAAAATCAAATAAGATTTCTTAAGTTGAAACGGAAAGTACATTCTCTTCTAATGCAGATGCTTGTATAATTTTTTTTATAATCTAAAATATTAAGACGTCACGCTTTTTTTTTACGACTTTTACCTGTCCCTTCCGCTCCGTCACAAAAAAGCTAGACCCCCCCCCCTCCCTAAAATGAAGTTACAACTTCTCAAAATGGTTGTTTAAATTTTCATAAACATTTATTATTTTTTTTCCTAAAATCTTGACTGAGTTCGGTCTCCTTTAATCAAATTCTTCTACAATTTATTAAAACAGTTTTCTAAAACGCAAAATAACGGCTAAAATTCGTTTTTTCTCCTCATTTATAGCGCAGTTTTCATACTGGACAATTGCGATTATTAACTCGTCATTTCTGGGTGCGTGTCCGCAGCTTTAAGTCGTATTTCCTCCTCAACGAAGCAATATCGAGGACTAGTTCCAAAAGCAAATATGTTAAGCAAGTTCCGAGGATGAACATAGGCCAAAAAAATTCCCGGAATTCCTTCCTGGAAAAGCCAAAAAAAACTCGAAAAAATGCAGTTTTTGGCCCATATCTCGGCAACCAGACCACTTAGCGACTTGAAACATTTACCAATCGATTCCTGCCATAATTTAGAACAATATTACCGAAGAAAGTTTTCAAAAATATCCTTTCGTTCGGTCACAATTTTTTTTTTTAAATTACATAAACACCTACAAACCTAGCTTGAACGCACCCCAGCATTATACGTCTTTGTGATCACTATCTATTTTTAGATAACATAAGGAAATTGCGCTTAAATTGTCACTAGACTTTTTATTAACTTGTTTTACTACAATGCAAAAGTGTAACGTCACACTATCTGAACTCCCCCCTCAACATCACAAATGTCACAAAATCACCTACCCCCCCCCCTACGAGTTTGACGTCATTTATTTACGACCCCCAAGTCCACCCATTGACTGAATAATACCGAACTTTTGACTTCATTGCCCTGATGTGTGTTAATATAAAACTTGGGAGCAGAGTTTCTTCCAGGCATCTCTTCGGGGGGGGGGGGGGGGGGCGAAGCCCACCCCGAAATTTTTTTTACCGCCCCCCCCCCCCCCCCGAACGAAATGAAATTTATATAATTTATATACAAAATATATACTTTTAACAGTCCGCCCCCCCCCCCCCCCGAAGAAAGTCTACCGCCCCCCCCCCCCCCGAAAATTTCAAGTGCTCCCCCGGAGAAAAAAGTCTGGAAGAAACACTGCTTGGGAGGGGGGGGGGGCTACTTCGTATACGAGCAAGTAAAGATCAACGAAGAACTTGAAATATATAAAGATCGAAGTAATTACCATAATGTTTACTTGGAGTTGGGGTTGGGGGGGGGGGGCGTGAAGTTAAGTCATAGAGCATAATGACAGGTGATAGAATTTAGGTGTTATGTGAGAGGATAAAATAGGCCTACATGGGGAGGGACAGATTTCTCTCTTGCATCTCTCCAGGACTTTTGATAATTATATAGGCCTGCTGTATCCAGTGTCGACCCCTAATTTTTAAGAGCCCCCCCCCCCTCCCCTGGAGGAAAAATGTCTGAAAGAAACACTGGAGACGGGGTAAAGGATCACGGGGGTAACGAAGGAGGGTAGTGACAAAAGAGTGAATTCATAAACCCAAAAGAGCTAAACCGAACACAAGTTAATTCTAAACAAAAGATTGCCGTTGGGTTGATGAATTGAAAAGTTACGAAACAACAGCCCAGCCCTGGCGCCCCACCCTCAGTGTTTTTTTCCTCAAAGGAAAGAAACTCGTCTAAAAAAAGACTTCTATTTTCTACGGGATAAGAGTGTAATAATCGATAAATATTTTTTCGCCGACTGCTTCCTGTTATGCCTCTGCTCGATAACTTCTTGGTTTATGAAGGAACAACTCTATGATTACAACTTAACTAGATCTAGGAGATCTACATTATTTTTATTATTAGCCCATAGGCCTACTCTACGCTTACATTTTACTACATTATAGGCCCCTAATCACTTGTTATTTTGTTTAATAGTTTCTAGATCTAGAGTCTAGATCTAAGTTTAAATCTCTAGGCCTGCCCGCCCTAGCTAGAGCCAACTTGAACAGAGGGCCTAGGACTAGCGCTACTGCTAAATCTAGTAGCAGTAGGTAGGTAGGTAACTTACTAAGTTACTATACTATAATACTACAATATTAATACTTATACTTAACTAACTAGATCTAGAAGAAGTAGATCTATGAATTATAATTTGCTAGCTTAACTAAATAAAGGATTAAACTTTTAAAGCTATTGCTAGTCTGTAGAGTGTAGGTACTAGGATAAATTTTTAATATTGTTTTTTTAGGGAAACAACTACTACAGTTAAAAGGAGCAGAAAATTACAATAACAGAACAGTTTTCCTTTTTGATGTAGCTCAAACGGTTAAATAGTTATGATTTTTTTTCGTATTAAAAAATGTGATTTTTTTAACATAGGATTTTTTCCAATTTCTGTGATAGAGTTTTTTTAAGCGGTTACTAAAATTGTCCTAGCTTGTAAACCATATGGTCAAATTTGTTATAACTTTGCAATGTCTTTATTTATTATATATGGAAGCATAATAAACAATAAAATTAGAAATTTATGGGCAGAGTTAAACAAAAACAGAAGTAGAACACAGGGTAACCCCCCTAATTTTTCATATACAGTGCATTCATACAATCTCAGTTAAAATTTTAACTATTCCAAAAATTAAGCTCAAACTTGCTGAGAATGTTGAGCTATGGATGTGTGAGTTATTACAATCAAAATAATATTCATAACTGAAAAGTTTTTTGTTTTAACTGCTACAAAGCTGATAGATTATGCAATTTCGCAAAACCGAAGTCTTGTTGATGTGAAATGCAACATGATGGCAAATTTGAGTTATTAAGCACTTAAGTCTCAAAATTTGCCTGGCTCTAGATGACTCTATTCTTAAACAGAAACAATCAAAATATGTGTTTAAATCTATCTTTTTGACAAAAAATAAGGGGTGGAACAGGGTACACCCCCTATTTTTAAATACGAAATTTGTTCATACAATATCAGCTTAGGTCCAAACTATTTGAATCTAATGCTAAAAACTAACCAGAGTGAAGCTCTGAAATAAGTGTGTTTGATGGTTCTATCTAAATAGTTGACAAATAGGTAAAAGATGGTAAAAAGGTAAAACGCTGAGTCATCGACGCGCCTGACATAATTGAAAAACTGAACTAATATATGAAAATAAAAATGATGGCAAATTAGATCTATTAGAAATGTAAGGTCTTTTATTTGTATAAATGTAATTAACTTGTTAGTCTACTTATATATATAGTTTAATTAAAAAGATGTGTTTCTGTCTGTTCATTAGTATTTTACATTTCAGAAGTTCAACATTGGTTAGTTTTAACATGATATAGAATCTAGAACTAGTTCATATTACTAAACTTTCAATGTACTGCTTCAAAATTTATTTAAGTTATTTTAAAAAATATTACTTAATTTGTCTAAATAAAAGGTGAACACATTTATTGTAATAGTTTTAATTCCTCTTTACATAGTGTTCCCTCATTAGGCCATATAACTGCTTATCATATCGTAGAGATGTGCTGGTTTTAGAAGTGTAGGTTCTATCTGGAAAAGTAAACAGTACATTATTTGCTTTCACATCAAAATAAATAAAATGGTTTTTCTAGACACTAAAATTAAATATTGAACATTTATTGCTATTACCGCACCAAACCTCCCCCCCCCCCTCTACTCCACTACCTTCAATATCAAAACAGCGTTTGCCACTATCGCCGGCGGAAAAACATCGTTCGCCACTATCGCCGGCGGCAAATCGCCACTATCGCCGGCGGCAAAACATCGTTCGCCACTATTCCTGGCGGCAAAACATCGTTCGCCACTATCGCCGGCGGCAAAACATCGTTCGCCACTATCGCCGGCGGCAAAACATCATTCGCCACTATCGCCGGCGGAAAAACATCGTTCGCCACTATCGCCGGCGGGAAAACATCGTTCGCCACTATCGCCGGCGTCAAAACATCGCTCGCCACATTTTTTCTATTACCTCCCTTGCCACTTTCGCTTTCATATTGTAAACAAACGAATTTTTTTTATAGAGGTAGCAAATCTGTGCAGCATATAACTTTTGTGCGCTATGTCCAAACAACTTGATTTTTTGAAACAATAGAGAAAAGTGGTGTAGAATTCATGTAAAGCAATAAAATTCCTGTTTATTATAAAAATAAACAGTAGGGAGTAAATTAAACTTACCTTATTTTCACTGAAACACTCCATCTTGAATAATCCATGCACAAAATTAAAAAAACAACGAAAACGCAAAATGTCCATTTTTTTATGAAAAATCGATAATCGCACGAAAATTGATCGGGCGATAACACCGAGCGATAAAAATTACGAAACTATAGCACTCGTGTCGCCGCAAATTCTCGGCGTCTGGGTAACGGGGACGAAAAACTCGCCGCGCGGCGTAAAACGAGATGTAATCCTAGTACCTACTAGTCTGCTATCGTGATCAATCATCAACAAATATTTCTGATGATATTTCGAGTTGTCCCTTTGAATCCCAGTCAGAATGCCCCGCCGAACGTGGTGAGATTTTTCGCCAGCGAGACAGAAAATGTAAGCAACAATCACGCGAGTGATGATGTTTGGAAATTTTATTTTAAAAAAATGAAAAATATGAAATTTCAATATGGAAAAAAGTGTCAAAAGACACTGTTTTGCGGTCATGCCAACCCCGGGTTTGAATACAGAGCTCTAAGGCTAAGAACTTAAGCTGCCGCACTGTTGACTCTACCACAACTAATGTGATAGAAAATGAAATAGTAAACATTTTCAATCAGAAGATGGCAAAATCGCAACGGAAATTGACACTGCTTTGTTTTCTTACAGCAGGTCGAAATATAGGCCTATCATAATTCCAACATAATATAGCCTAATAACTTATAAGTAGTAGATTATCTATTACTGGAGCTGAATTTGTATTTTAGAGTTTATTAGTTTATATATATAGGCCTATATATTTAAAAATCTAGTCTAATCTTGATCTATATTAAAAAATCTAACCATTTTTGCCCGATTTTCGCTCCTAGTTTTCTTGTCCTTGCAAAAAAAATACAGCCCTTTTAGCTGTCACTGTCAGTGCGTATAAGAACTTTAACATAGGTCATAGCCTGAGCAATAACAGTATGACAAACATGCTTTGGTCATTTTCAACATAAGCAATATATATTAGTCGTTCCTCTCAAAAGAAAGCAGTTGATAAATCATCCTAGCGATTGAAAAATCGGAAGTTGTAAATCGGATGCAGTATAATTTTTGTAGACATCTTTGCATTTCACATCCTCTCAGCATAAGTAATCGTGTGGGGATGAGAAGTGGTACGAAAATGTTACAAGCCTGGCAGTTTTTGTACCCTTCTTGCAATTAACCGCCTCACCATTTTGTGTTCCACATTTCGCAATTTACCAACACCCTAATTTTGATGTAGATCTACAAGATCTCTAGATCTACATTTTCTAAACAATCTAAAGTAAATTACTGTAAATCAAGAGTTTAGAAAATATTTTCTAGGTTTTTTAAATTTCTTAGATCTAGATTTCAACCCTATTGCTATATTAGAAGTACATTATAAGGCAAGTTATTTGAATTTAAGTATTAGGCCTAGTAATGAGTAATTTGATCTACATCTCATTTATTTATCTAGATTCTAGAGAAGAAGATTTAATCATAAATGACTAACAAGACCATTATTTCTCATAATAGTCATGTTTTTCTAAGCCTAGTTTCTAGATCCAGATAATCTAGACTATAATCAATAATCCCTTGTGGGTTAACAATTAACTTATTAACTAGTTAGTTAGAATTTAGAGTGTTAGAATGTTGTTAGAGAGAAACTAAAACTTTCATCCAGAGCCGAGTATGGAATGGTGGCTGTAGAGTTCTTACTATTTTGTTAACTGTTTTGACTTACTAGATCTAATTCTTGAACAATTTACTTTCAGCCAGGAGTTATGGCCACTCTGGAATTTTCTGGAACTCTTGAACCATCAGATCCTTACGACAATGCTGTTCTTATAGTAGGTCAACTTAAACATCTCTCAAAATTGTGCTTTGAGGATGTACAATGCAAATTTGGAGCACGAGTGGACTCAGAGGTTTGTTCAAATCTTGATTCAATCAACATTTGAAATTTTTTTTTAAAATGCTCCTGTATTTTTATAAACACTTTTTACGTCTTTTACATTTTCTCATAGGTTAAGAAGATTTTGCTTAACATGAATTATCATTATTGTTCCCTAAAATTTAGAGTTTAACCTGTTTCTAAATATAACTTTAAAAACTGTTTTCCAGACATACTCTACATGTATCAGTAGCCTGCATCCTTCTCCAACTGACCAGTGCTCTTTATGGTTAAACAGTGCCACTGTGGCAGCTCTGCCGCTGAAGTGTAGCCGTCACAATACTCCATCCCGCTGCCACTCCCTCACCAAGTTGGTTAAAAGTTGTCTGGCGGGTGGTCAAGAATATATTGTGGTCAGTTGTATTTACTAGTAATAGTATGTTGATAATATATTGTGGTCAGTTGTATTCAATAGTAATAATATGTTGAGAATATATTGTGGTAAGTTGTATTTACTAGTAATCATAATAATATGTTAAGAATAAATGGACACAAATATAATGTGGTCTGTCAGTTGTTTTTAGTTGTGGTAAAATGTTGAAACTAAATGGACAAGAGTATATATAAAAGTTGGCTAGCTGGTGGTCAGTATGTATTTACATGTTGAAATTAAATGGATACACACACAAATACATTATGGTCGGTCAGTTGTTTTTAGTTGTAGTAAATTTTTGAAACTATAAATATATTGCGGTCTTGTGTTTTGTGGCAATCAATTAAACTTAATGGATAAGAATACATACTAGTCAGTTGTTTTTAGTTGCAGTAAATTATTGAAACTAAATGGGAAAGAAAGTATATTTGTGAGTTGTTTTTTTTTTGTAGTAATAAAATGTTCAAACTAAATGGGCAAAAAATGCGTTTTTTATTTTTTCTGTAACAAAATGTTTTAATATAGTTATTTAACTTACTTCATCCAACAGATTGTGTGTGAACATGAAAATGTTTATGCATCAGGCTTGGCTGTGGCCAGAGCACTCCCTTTGTATTCTGCCAAATCTGGATCACACAACAACTCTGCCAGAAAGGTAACATGCTGTGTGTTGTAACAAATTTCCTCAGAAATACATTTTAAGTCTTTAAACCTTGTTACCAATTGTAAATTTTTAAAAGCTCATCACATATTTTTTTCTGAATTTTAATAATGATAATGTTACATTTAAATTTTAAGACCAAAATATTTTTTATTTATTTTTCTTTCTAATTTTTAGCATTCTTATTGCTATTGTCCCTGGTTCATTTTATTTAATGTAGTTTAAAATATTTTGAGTTGCCAGATTGAAATTCAATTTTGTTGAACATTTTTGTTGTAACGTTCATAGGTCACAGTTGAATTTATTGTATATGAAGATGAAAAGATAATACCTTTGAGCAATGATGAGCTGCAGTGTTTAAGAGTGGCAGCAGACAGCTTAAGGCTGACGGCAAAGATCGTGGACATGCCGTGTAGCGAGATGAATGTTGACAACTTTTTACAGGTAAACATTTTAATTAGGCTACCAATTTGTAATAAAATTCAGACGTCTTGAGTTTGCTAACCGGTCATTAGTTTGAAGAAAGTCCTTGTCCAGCCAGCTTAAGTGTTGAGGTGGGAAATGTAAAGGTGGCGCACAATTCTGTCACATACAGAGGAAAATAAACGGGAGTGATCTCCCCTAAACTTTCTCGAATATTCTTACATAACTTGGAATATAGACATTATTTTTAATTACGTAAACTTTTAAAAATAGAATAGAATCTCATAGAAAAAAGAATTGCGCACCAAGCGAACGCCAAAACAAAATGTGCATAATAGTGCGCAATATTATTATTACTTTATAAATTTACATGCGTTTTTTGAGAAATCGGAAATAGCGTAAATTAGTACTTCCGGTCAACGGAAATTACTCAAAAGTTGACAGAAGGTAGAGATTTAGATCTTTTACTTACATGTGAAATTTCATTTATCTATCCTAAATAGTACTCAAGTTATAGGCTTTTGAAAAATTCAAAGTAGAAAAAGTACCACTTCCGGTTATAGGAAATCGCTCAAAAGTTGATACGGATCTAAGATTTTGATAAAATACTTATATATGAAATTTCATCAACCTAGCTGTAACGGTACTCAAGTTATCGTGTTTACACACAGACAGACACACACACACACACAGACAAGATTGCAAAATTATGTTTTTCCGTATCAGTGAGGTGTAAAACGTCGAGATTTGTAAAAATCTCGATTATTATTATTTTTGCACGATTACAAGACTTTCTCTATACTTTGTATATACGAGAAAGTAAAAAAAAATTATATCTACCCTTTGGACTGTCACGTCTGATAGGGATCTTAACTTTTTTTTTTTCCAATTTTTAAAAAATAAAATAATTGCAGAATTATTGAAAATAGGCTATAAAAAATACTTGGGTAGGATTTATGATTTATTTTCAGGTGTTCTAAAAAAAATTTAATTTAAAAATATAAGTTACATTTTCTCTAAACTTACAATCTTATATTGAATTTTAAAATAATAAAAATTATGTCATTTTTTAACTTATATTATTTATACTTTAATGTCTTTAGAAAGACGTTTTGCTTATGTTCTGAAACCTAACAAAAATTGGGTTCATTTACAGGAAATTCAAGACGTGGGAAGACAACTAGGAATAACCCCCACAATAATATCAGGAGAAGAGCTTGCTCTCAAAGGTTTTGGAGGTAAGGGTTTCTTCATATATTTTTTTTTAATTTAATTTATGAGATTATTTTGTCTTCCCCACTGATTCAGTTTAGGATTTGATTTACTGACAACTTAATGAGTGACTTCAGTTTGGATAGACACTTTGTAAAACACATAATGTTTGAGGGGTCAACATATGACACAGCCAGTTCAAATTGTTAACTATTGACACAGTGAGTTCATGGTTAACTATTGACACAATCAGTTTGAATGGTTAACTACTGACACAATCAGTTTGAATTGTTAGCTATGGACTCAATAATCTGGAATGGTTAACTATTAACACAATCAGCCTGAATAGTATGTTATTGACACAATCAGCTTAAATAGTTTACTATTGACACAATTAGCTTTAATGGTTAAATATTAACACAATTAGTCTGAATTGTTCACCTTTGACTTAATTATATATATAATTAGCTTGGGTTTTGTATTGAATTGTTGACCATAACAAAATGCACTATGGTGTATTAGAAGTGAATGGAGGACAAAGCTGCAATGTGATAAACTTTGCTATGAAAGCACTCTAGGCATGAGTCATTGCCAATTCTAAATCAATAAATTCAGTTTAATTGTAATCTAAGAACAATTTTGTTGTGTTCACAGTAGGTTGATCATCTTCTTCGTTCTTAATTGTAATGTTGGACAGTATTTCCTCCAACACAGTTAAGTATTATGTGTCAGCCTGTTATGCGCCACATAAGCTCTTGACTCAGATTTCGTCCTGCTTTTCTTTTGGGATTTGCCTTTATAGCCTTTGTATATCCAAGAACAAACTAGAAGCCAGCAGTTGTTTGATTGCTTGCTTCCCCCAGCTATTGTGCCTCGTCTGCTCTGGGATTTGAACTTCGTACTGCTTGGTTTAGCAATCATGAGCTTTTCCGACCTGACCATACCGACCTCCAGTTGGTTGATATTACTTGAATAATTGATGCAAGTTATTTTTTAAGCAGTCCATCAATGAATGAAATATTGACATTTATGTTTTAAATAGGCATTTTTTAATAATTAATACAAGTTTTTTTAAGCAGGCAATCAATGAATGAAATATTGACATTTGTTGATATTACTTTAATAATTGATACAAGTTATTTTTTTTAAGCAGGCAATCAATGAATGAAATATTTACATTTCTGTTTTAAACAGGCATTTATGAATAATTGATACAAGTTCTTTTTTAAGCAGACCTTCAATGAATGAAATATTTACATTTCTGTTTTAAACAGGCATTTATGAATAATTGATACAAGTTCTTTTTTAAGCAGACCTTCAATGAATGAAATATTTACATTTCTGTTTTAAACAGGCATTTATGGGGTCGGGAAAGCAGCTGTTGTACCCCCTGCACTTGCCATCTTGAGCCACATTGTGCCAAACTCAACTGAAACTATTGCCTGGGTTGGTAAAGGCATTGTGTATGATACTGGCGGATTGTGTATTAAAACAAAGGTATTTTGTATGGTCCTGGAAAGATTAATCTAAGTGCTATAAGCAAGATGGCCAAAACTGATCAAAAATAAAATTCATTTAAAAAAACTTAACCTCTTAAATTAAAATAAACCTTTTTTCATTACTATTTGAATGTTCACTCGCAAAAACAAACAAAAATTCCTAGTAACTTTAAGTAAAGATCACAAACTTTAAAATTTAGTGTATGAGGTATTTTTTGTTTTAATTTTTATATTCAGTTTTTATCAATACTTATTAACCATTCTTCACTTCTAAAGTTATAAAGTCCCATTTGGTTATTCTTGAATTAAAAAATTTCTTTTAGATTCCTTAACTGAAAATAGTTGCAGCAAATTTTGATGACTAAAAATTTTATTCTTAGCAAATTTTTTTCTTTTCTTTGCATAACACAGCAGTTAGTAAATTTAATAGTTTCATACATCTGCCCTGTGGTTTACATAATGTTTTAGCATTAATATCAACATTGATACTGCTATAGACACAATAATTTTTTTATTTTGTTGTCTTGTTAGACAGGAATGTGTGGGATGAAAAGAGATTGTGGAGGGGCTGCAGCAGTTCTTGGAGCATTCAAAACAGCAGTCAAACTAGTAATTTTTTTTTAAATCTCTGATTTTCTAGTGCAGGAGGCAAGGGTTAAAAAAGCTGTTATGCTAGTTATTTAAACTTTATTTGGGGGGGGGGGGGGACGACTTAAAACAACAGACAAGCTAATAATTTATTTAAACATCTGAGATTTCTTAGTGCAGGAAGGTGGGGGTTAAAACAGTGGTTAAGCTAGTAATTTAAACCTCTGATTTTTTGGGAGAGGAGTGAAAACAACAGTTTTAAGCTAGAAATGTTATGATTTCTTAGAACAGGAAGTCGAGGGCTAAACAGCATTCAAGCTAGTAATTAATTTAAATCTTTTATTTCCTCGGATAAGGAGGCAGGGGAAAATGTTAACAATCTTATGAAAGATAACATTTTGTTGAATACATTACTATTTTAGAATTGTGTTATAGAATTATATAGTTTGCTTGTCTACCTTATTGAACACTGCACGAAATTTTTTTATATAGATTAGTATGTACTTTATTGAATGCTGTACAAAAAAATCTATATTGAACGCTGTAAGAAAAAAAATTATATAGTTAGCATGTCTATTTTATTGAACACTGTAAGAAATAAAAAATTATATAGTTACTATGTCTACTTTATTGAATGCTGTAAGAAAAAAAAATTATATAGTTAGCTTGTCTACTTTATTGAACACTGTAAGAAATAAAAAATTATATAGTTACTATGTCTACTTTATTGAACGCTGTAAAAAAAAATGTGAACAGGCTACTTTTTTTCCCATCGCCAGGGGTTTAGTGAAACTCTTCATGCCGTCTTCTGCCTGGCTGACAACGCCGTTGGTCCTCTTGCTCAAAGGCCTGATGACATTGTGCATATGTACTCGGGTCGCACTGTGGAGATCAACAACACTGATGCTGAGGGTAGATTGGTACTTGCTGATGGGGTGAGGCGGACTAGACCTTAGTACTTGTACAAGGTTTTTTTTCTGACTGTGTTGCTCTGTGTGGGGTGAGGGGGACTAGACCTTAGTACTTTTACAAGGTTTTTTTTCTGACTGTGTTGCTCTGTGTGGGGTGAGGGGGACTAGACCTTAGTACTTTTACAAGGTTTTTTTTCTGACTGTGTTGCTCTGTGTGGGGTGAGGGGGACTAGACCTTAGTACTTTTACAAGGTTTTTTTTCTGACTGTGTTGCTCTGTGTGGGGTGAGGGGGACTAGACCTTAGTACTTTTACAAGGTTTTTTTTTCTGACTGTTGCAGTGTGTGGGGTGAGGCGGACTAGACCTTTGTATTTGTACAAGGTTTTTTTTTCTGTGTTGCTGTGTGTGGGGTGAGGCGGACTAGACCTTAGTACTTTTACAAGGTTTTTTTTTATGTTTTGCTGTGTGTGGGGTGAGGCGGACTAGACTTTAGTACTTTTACAAGGTTGTTTTTTTCTGACTGTGGTGCTGTGTGGGTCAAGGTTTTTGTATGTTTTTACTAGCTTGATGCATAGGGCAGAGACCATACTTTTTCTAAGAGAGCTTTGGGTAGAAACCAGACTTTACCTAGTGGGCTTAGGGCAGAGACCAGACTTTTTCTAAGAGAGCATAGGGCAGAGACCATACTTTTTCTAAGAGAGCATAGGTCAGAGACCATACTTTTTCTAAGAGAGCATAGGGCAGAGACCATACTTTTTCTAAGAGAGCATAGGGCAGAGACCATACTTTTTCTTAGAGAGCTTAGGGCAGAGACCAGAATTTCCCTAGTGGGCTTAGGGCAGAGACCAGACTTTTTCTAAGAGAGCATAGGGTAGAGACCAGACTTTACCTTGTGGGCTTAGGGCAGAGACCAGACTTTTTCTAAGAGAGCATAGGGTAGAGACCAGACTTTACCTAGTGGGCTTAGGGCAGAGACCAGACTTTTTCTAAGAGAGCATTGGGTAGAGACCAGACTTTTCCTAGCGGCGCAGGGCAGAGACCATACTTTTTCTAAGAGAGCATAGGGTAGAGACCAGACTTTTTCTAAGAGAGCATAGGGTAGAGACCAGAATATTCCTAGTGGGCTTAGGGCAGAGACCAGACTTTTTCTAAGAGAGCATTGGGTAGAGACCAGACTTTACCTAGTGGGCTTAGGGCAGAGACCAGACTTTTTCTAAGAGAGCATAGGGCAGAGACCATACTTTTTCTAAGAGAGCATAGGGCAGAGACCAGACTTTTTCTAAGAGAGCATAGGGTAGAGACCAGACTTTTTCTAAGAGAGCATAGGGTAGAGACCAGACTTTACCTAGTGGGCTTAGGGCAGAGACCAGACTTTTTCTAAGAGAGCATAGGGTAGAGACCAGACTTTACCTAGTGGGCTTAGGGCAGAGACCAGACTTTTTCTAAGAGAGCATAGGGTAGAGACCAGACTTTACCTAGTGGGCTTAGGGCAGAGACCAGACTTTTTCTAAGAGAGCATTGGGTAGAGACCAGACTTTTCCTAGCGGCGCAGGGCAGAGACCAGACTTTTTCTAAGAGAGCTTAGGGCAGAGACCATACTTTTTCTAAGAGAGCTTAGGGCAGAGACCATACTTTTTCTAACAGAGCATAGGGCAGAGACCATACTTTTTCTAAGAGAGCTTAGGGCAGAGACCATACTTTTTCTTAGAGAGCTTAGGGCAGAGACCATACTTTTTCTAAGAGAGCATAGGGCAGAGACCATACTTTTTCTAAGAGAGCTTAGGGCAGAGACCATACTTTTTCTAAGAGAGCATAGGGCAGAGACCATACTTTTTCTAAGAGAGCATAGGGCAGAGACCAGACTTTACCTAGTGGGCTTAGGGCAGAGACCATACTTTTTCTAAGAGAGCTTAGGGCAGAGACCATACTTTTTCTAAGAGAGCTTAGGGCAGAGACCATACTTTTTCTAAGAGGGCAGAGACCATACTTTTTCTAAGAGAGCATAGGGCAGATACCATACTTATCTCTAGTGAGCATATAACAGAGACAATATTTCTCCATAGAGAGCATAGGACAAATATCATACTGCTCCAAAGAACATGAATAAGCTTTGGAGAGTGGTATTCAAAAGAAATTGCTTTGATTCTCGCCTGCTCCCACATTTTTTTCTTATCTTTCTGTCACTGGCTTAAATAAAGCTGAATGAATAGACCCCAGTGCTAGATATAGTCTGGTCATCAAGGAAAGCCTTCTGACAATACATTTATCTCTGTCATTGACTGTAAGGATTGAATGACTAAAAACTATGGGAAGGGTTTTTATTTTAGCTTCAAAACAATTTCAGGCACAGTTTAGCATAACTTAAAAATAAAAACAGATCAAGCAAGGGGCAGAAGTAAGTGGTGGAGCGCTAGACTGCTAATCTGATAGTCTCGAGTTTGAATCTTTGGTTCATTTTAGTCCACCCAGCTCTGATGGGTACCTAACTTACATTTGGGAAAGTAAAGGTGGCTGGGCATAGTGCTGACCACATTATCCCTTCGTATGTCAAGGTAAAGAAACATGAACCCTACTTCATCTGTCCACTGGCTAGGTCTAAAGAGGAATCTTTACTTTTATTTTTAAGTATACATAACAGTAACAACTGTACCTAGCTTGGCTAAAGTCCATCTGTCGTATATTACTATAATAAAAACAATAGCATCTAGTTTTTGTTTATCTGATTGAAGTTTCTCATTGCTATTGAATATAATCAGTTCAAACAAAAACATTTGTTTAAAAAAAAAAATTTTAAAAATATTTTTCTTCATTGCCAGGTTGCTTATGCAGTTAAAGATTTGCGCAGTGACATAATTGTTGACATAGCAACATTGACAGGTGCTCAGGGCATTGCCACAGGTATGTCAACTTTTACGGAATGGCAGCTTTTATACCTATAGCTGCTATGATATGTTAGGGAAACTGTTCCTCATATATGTGGCAGTCATTGAAATTGATTAGCTCTTCTTCAACTCTCCCATGTGTCTTGTTCACAGTTCACAGAAAAATGCACAAATACAAACTAATTAATACTAATACACTTTTGTCATATTTCATGGAAAAATGTTTTATTATGCTACAAGGTACACATGTTCATTCATAGCTAATGTCTATATATGCTTGATTTGTGCGCAGTATTCTGTTTCGCATTTTGCCGGTCACCCTTAGGCATGAATGGAAAAGATGATAATAACTGCTGTTTCTTAAATCTCATAGTTAAAGTTGGGAATTAGTAGCGGGATAAACCAGAGGGCAGGCAAGTTAGCATCACTAAGTTTTTTTAGACACTAAGTATAAACATACAGAAGTCACAGGAACAGGTGAGCTCTTAAATGTAAACAGAGTGTATGGTCATGAAAGAAATCCATTAAAACAGAATCTAGGGACCAACATTAGATCTATTTCATGTTCTATCTATAATCATCAGGTAAACTTCAGCTAGGCATAACCACCACACCCATTTAAATAGGTGGCTGGTGGAGTTTAAAGTTGTGGGGGGTAGGGGCATAAATATTAAACTCATACTCAATTAATTGAAAAAAAATTTGGGAGTCGATGATGTTTTAACAGTGTCCAACATCATTGTTTCAGGTAAATACCATGCTAGTATTTTAACCAACAATGAAAAGCTGGAAGAGCAGTGTATCAAAGTGGGTCGCTCCAGTGGTGACCTGGTGCACCCGGTACCCTTCACACCTGAACTCCACTCACCTGAGTTTTCCAGTGCAATAGCTGACATGAAAAATTCAGTCGCTGTAAGTTGGTTGCGGATTAATTTTTTCACATAGTTTTAATGATAATCTGTCATGAAAAAATTAAGGGCAGTTATTTAACTAATTAGATTTTCAGCCCATTTCTATAATAATATAATTATTTTTATCCAGCTTCTTTATACTTCTTTATAGAGTATATACATTATTAGAATTAAATTCTTTTTAGAATAACTTGTCTATAAACTGCAAGAAAATTAACGTTTTACAATTTTGTGATCACATTTGTTATGAATGTCTTAGCCCTAAACGGCTATAAAATTCATGTTTTATAATTCTGTTGTTATACATTTGTTATGAACATCTTAGCCCTAAACTGCTATAAAATTCATGTTTTATAATTTTTTTGTTACATTTATTATGAATGACATCTCCTACAGGACAGAGGTAATGCCCAGGTTTCATGTGCTGGATTGTTCATCATGTCTCATCTAGGCCAAGACTACCCTGGAGCGTGGTTGCATATTGACATTGCCTCCCCTTCCTACTCTGTAAGTCCTCATTATTTAGTCAAGATAATTCACATTTTTGCTTGGTTTCTTTTTTTTTTTTTAAATCTCTAACATGGTCTAAAATACTTTTATTGATAAAATAACAAATAATTGAAATTGCATAAATTTTTTCCAATAATTACAATGTTAATAGTTAAATAGAACATTAAGTATTAACTAGCCCTATGGTCCGTAGCGGACCTTGAATCCTTGAAAAACCCTTGAATTCCAAAAAACATCTCAAGGCCTTGAAAAACCCTTGAATTTCCCCAAAAATGAGCAAAACCCCTTGAATTTTATAGGTAAACCTTGAAAACCGCGCGTAAATCGAATTTTAAAAAAAATTCAATTCTGATGGATCTAAACTTTGTCTGGCTTTTTTTTTTTTTGCCGTAGGTCTGCGTTAACTTCGGAGTCTACTATATCCGTCCCTCTCCTTCACTGAGCCTCGCGTTATGACCAGTTTTGCATAGGCTCTTCCTAACCTAGATTCTAGATCGTGACGTAAACGATAGCCGAGGGCTAAATTTAGCATCGTTTTTCGGGTATATCCGTTTACGACTGAGTTACTAGATTCTACATCTAGATTCAGTGTTTTCTGTTAGGGCCTACCTACTTGTACGGTTTTTGTCCGTAATTTTTCGATTTTGACACCCCTGTTGCGGAATCAGGCCGCAAATGTTACGCAAAAGCCCACAGTAAACATCAAAATCGATTTAGTGTCGACCTTTTTTTTTTCTTGTGTTAACTTTCTGTGTTATCCGGTTCTATTGTTTCAACCATCTTCCATCATAACAATCGACCCCCCCCCCCCCCAATCCCTTCCCGACAATATCTCGGCAGTCGTTGGCTCTATTTATATTGTGAACTTTATTGACCCCGCGAGTGGTCTGTTGTCTCCTGATCGGTGATGCCCGTAAAGAAAAAAAATTGGAATGTGGCCTAAATCATTAAAATTCTGGTCGCGCATGGAAATTATCTCGATTATAATTAAACCTACATCTAGAACTAATATTTTTTCTTCCAGAAAATAAGCCTTAGGTTTAAATAAAAAAAGAATAGCCTGAACTATGCGAGCGTAGGTTTTTATTTATTTAAATTAAAATTTTCTCGGTGTGTGTAAAACACAAAAGGGCGAAACGTAGCTTCGGAATTACGGGTAAATAGCGAGACAGTCTGAGACATAATTTATCGAGTTATTGTGTTCTGTTGTTGTAGATGTGCGAGAAGACACGTTTTTACGAACCTAGATCAATCACGGTTCTTTGTGTACCCCACGTCAGCAGACGTTTCGGTCACTGCGACCTTAGATGGTCTTCTAGGTCTATCTCAACTTACAGTGACTTCGCAGTATATTATAGTGATGGATCTAGATCTAGATTTTTAACTATTAATAAATTCGCATTAATTACGTGACGTCATCAATGGGCTACCGCTAGGCTGTGTAATTAAAAAAAAACTAAATCCTAACATTACCAGCTCATTAGCATCGCCGATTGTCTTCTTAAAAAAAGAAAGATTTTGCGCCGACGTAAATTTTTTTTGTATTTATCAAAAGAAAAGAAAAATAATTTGAAGGACTATGACTGTGCTGTTTTCACTCAACTTTACGGACACTTTTTTACCACCTCTCACTTCAAGGTCGCGCTGACCGTAAGACCTACGACACGAGACCACGCGCGAGCACAGTCGTGTCTCACGGTCAAGGCAGTTCTACAAACGCTGGTTATCTAATTTTAACGTGGTTATCTTTAATATTGGGCTTACTGCTAGATTTAAGCGAAAACAAAAACTATATCCGCATCGCTTTAGGTCATTGAACAAAATATGTAGGTCTGCTATAATTTAGTAACACCATCTAGCAGGGTCTAGATCTAATTGCTTTTTACTGTGGTAAAACGTCCTTGAAATGTTTAAGAAGCCTCGAATTACCGTGTTTGAGAAAATTGCCGCTGTCACTGCCCCCTCCCATCCGCTTGTAAAAAAAAATCCGCTTTTCACTTTGTCGGGCGGCTACATCTCTGACATGAGTATTACTAGCGTAGTTACTTGTGAAATTGTTTTAAAAAAAAAAAAACTTAATGGAGGCGAGCGAGTTGACGAGATTCCTTCCATAGTATTGTTGACATGGAATAAAAACGTGCTTTTTAGATTTAGACCGTAAAAAAAATAAAAAATAAAAACTTAAGCCTAAAATTAATTTAGAAATTTTATATTTTTAGAATAAATGCTATAAAAGTTGCAAATCCAGAGAACTTGAAAATAATTTGTTGAGTTTAAGGCTACATTTCTATTTATTTTCATCAAGCCTAAGTTATAACCGGATGTTTCACTTTCGTAAGACAAATATTGATTGGCTGTACAGTAACTTAGTGATCGATAACTATTTGTTTACAAAACTTTGCACATCAAGTTTTTAAATAACCATGCAAATTTAAAACCCCATGACCTAGTTTTCTATTTTTAGCTTACAATGTGTACAATAAAATCAATGGCGGCCTATCGAATAACAGGATGCCATTGTTTATGTCGCCATTACACGTGAAAACCAAATTGTTTTTGCTTTTTTTTAAATTTTTATTTAGTTACCGAAAATATTATAAACATCAAATACGTCCAATCTTTAGTAAAGTCCGAAAAAAACCAGATAGACAGGATTTTATAACCATATTAATTGTAACTACGCCGTGCCTGATTTTTAAACTAATTTATACACCTCTCAAATACCTTTGAGAGTTTTCTCGCTCGTGTCCATTCTGTTATCCCGCGATATGAACTAACTTAAAACTTCCACGATATTTCTTTACATCATCATGTATATCATAGGTGGGGACATAGGGGTCGTCCATAAATGACGTCACACTCGTAGGGGGAGGGAGGATCCATAATCGTGTGACGGTGTGTGATGAGGGGATGGGGGGGGGGTCAGATGGTGTGACATCACACTTTTGCATTATTAAAAAGCAATGTTAGAAAACAAATTTTGGCATTTTAGAAAACTGTTTTAATAAATTGTAAAAGGAATTGATTAAAATACTCTATTTTGAGTTCAGACAAGATTTTGGGAAAAAATCGTATTTTAAGAAAAATTCAACTGCAATTATGAGGGGGGGGGGGGGGTTATAGGCTGAGGTGTGACGTCATTTTAGAGGGCCGGGCCTGGCTTTTTTTGATGTGTGACGGAGGGGAGGGGGAGAGGTAATAATCGTTTAAAAAGCGTGAGGTCATTTATGACATTAAGCAGGATAATTTCTACAAGCCTAGCTAGGTTTTTTTTTTGTTTCTATATGTGTGCAGATTCCTTTTTAAAGGAATATGTGTGCAGAGTCCTTTTTAAAAGACTATCAGACAGACGAACCAATGCTTCCTTTTATGTATAATGACCTGATTCTGATTAGCACTTGACATTGACAAGTCATTCAATTGAAGTTGGGTTTGTTGCTGACTCTCTAATAAAGTCTCTAAAAAAAATAAAAAAAGCAAGTGAGCTTCAAATTCTCAATTTCAAATCTGATTGTAAGACAACTTTGATAGGATTTTCATCAAATTTTTTGTTGAAATCTCCATTACTTTAGTCATCAGTGAGAGACTTAGCCTAATGCAAATGTTTAAAAATAGAGCCAGTTCACACAAAAAAATGAAGGGAATTCTTCACATCCTAGTCAACAAATGGAAACTGAAATCAGCTGTTTCAATTTTCAACATTCATAGATACATGTACTCTAAATAGTTGTCTATCTAAATTTAATAGAGCACATGATAGGCTGGACAGTTTTTTCATAGAACAGCTTGGTAGCAAAATTTCTTATGTGAACATTTGGAAAATTGTTAGAGATCTATTGCTTCTGTCACATGGTCAAGCCAGTGTTGAAAGAGGTTTTTCTGAAAATAGAAGTTGGAGGAGTGTCATTTGACACCAAAGATACTGATTGCAAAAGGGATTATGCTGGACTCTCAGACAATCTCCTGACTTAGATAATTTTGTAATAACACCAAAATTATTTAAAAAATTGTGTGTGCAAAAAACATACATCACCCTCATTGTAATGCCGTTAGTGGTAGTTTATACCTTGAAATTCCCCCCAAAATCACCTTGAAAACCTTGAAAAACCCTTGAATTTTCTTTTGGGATTTGGCTATGGACCCTGCCTATGGGTCGGAGTGGTCGGGTGGATAAGCACATGTAATGTCCTGTCCCTTGGGTTGATCAGCTGTGTGGAGAGAAAGGACCTGATACATGGGGCAACATCTGGCTCTCCTCATCTCAAGGCCCAGGCTGTGTGCTTTTATTTCCAATCGGCAATCATCCAATGGTCTATTTGACTATGGAGCCATATTAACTAGATAAAGCCTTGTAATTATTTTCCATCTGTATTTGAAATTTAGTACATACCTCCGTACAATAATCATATCATCACAAAAATTAAACCCGCCTCCTGTATTGTTAATATTTCTAATCATCCTGATTATCATTTTACAAAATTAACCATGGTAAACAAAGTGAAAATAAAATTAAACAATGTGCTAAATAGAATTTCCATTTCTTTACTTGAATTGCTAAGGTAATAATTAAATTGCAAACTAGTAATATACTCAGAGAAACAAGTCAAGATTGTGAAATATTTAATCATTTTTAATTTCCATTATAATAATTGAGATTTTTTTTTTACAATCATCCCAAAAAAAAAAATAGGACAGACTTTAAAAAAATAGATAACCAGTGCAATGTGAACAATTGCCTCTCAGAAAGGGAAACCACCCGTAAATCTTTCTATTAGTGTTTTTTTATACATGATAAAGCCTTGTAATTATTTACAATCTGTATTTGAAATTTAGTACATACATTACTTTAAAAATTTTTTTTTCCTGGATGGGACGGCATGGTTAAATGGTAATCCGAAAGTTACCAATTCAAATTTGGATTCTAGTCTGTAAAATGTCTCTGATGTTCACCCAGCTCTGATGCGTACCTGTCTTATATTACGGAAAGTAAAAGTGGCTGGGCATAGTGCTGACCACACTATCCCTTCACATGCCAAGGTCACAGGAGCAGGTGAACTCTACTTCACTTGTCCGTTAGGGGTTTGAGAAAGGGAACATTTTATTATTCTCTACACTTATATATATATACTAGCCGTCCCGGCCAGGCCCTGCTCTGGCTTCTGTGAAAAACCTTTCTGTTAAAGACCATTACCTGTGTGTTTAGTAATCATCCTAAACCCGGCATTGCCCACCCAAACCACAACCAAACAAAACGCAAACATAACGCTAACACAATTACAAATACAAACGAAAACAAAAACCTAACAACAAACCCAACCACAACCACAAACACCAATACAAACACAAAGAAAAAACAAACAAAAAAGCAAACGAAAACAAAAACCTAACAACAAACCCAACCACAAACACCAATACCAACAAAAAAAAAAAACAACGAAAAAGCAAACGAAAACAAACCAAATCCAAACGCAAAACCAACCAAAAACACAAATACAAACCCAAACAAAGAAACACAAACAAAAACGAAAAAAGAAAGAACAAAAACGAACCAAATCAAAACGCAACCACTAACGCAAACCCACCTAAACACAAAGAAAACACTAACGCGAACATAAACGCCCGGGGCGGAATCACCTGTTTTAGCTTAATGAACGACTATAGTACCCCAACTTATTCATAGTCTTTTGCACTCACTTAAACGAACGCGCCTGTTTCAATTTGATGAACAATTTTAATACTCCAAGCTTATCCGTAAAATACCTACAACATTTGCTCTTGATCAATCCCCGCTAATTATGTAATTATTTTTTTTCCCAACACCAAAACAAAGTAATTAAAAAGTAAATACTTTTCCACAAAATGCAATGTTTTATAAAGGGAAGTAATTGTGTTTTTCCTAATTTATCAAAGGGAAGTAAGTGTTATAGGACTAAATAAAGACATAATTAGAATTTTTGTAAAAGATGATATTTTTTTTAAAACTTGTGTTTAATGAACATGCCGACAATTATTACTATAATTTGAAAAATGAAAATTATTTCCCAACACTTTCAATAGTAATTTTTTAGCTCATAAATTTAGACAAATGCGCACGATAATTTTCTAACTTTTAAATTCGTACACTTCCAACGACATACAAATGCATTACATACAGAACTGAGCTTTATATATTAGATATATATATATATATATATATATATATATATATATATATATATATATATATATATATGTATATATATCAGTCAGTTTCTGTAGTTTATTATTTTTTTGTTGCCAGGGTGAGCGTGCCACTGGATATGGTGTGGCTCTCCTGACTTCACTCTTTGGTGACCGTTCCCTCAACCCACTGCTGCGTCTAGTTGGTCCAGCAGGTAGCATAAACAACGGCATGGCCATGGAGGAGGATGAGGAGGATGGGCCAAAGAGGTTGAAGTTGACCTAACAGTTGAGGTCAAATAGACAGATTTAATGTGTGGAGGTCACTGTGATTGTTTAGCTCACTTTCATGTTGTAGATGTAAAATGTTATCCAGGCATCCAGTGCAGTGGTTGGGAAGGTGTAGTTGTAAGATACATGTGGCTTAATGAATGCTGATGTGTTTTTTTTTAAGTTATAAAATTAGAATATTAAATAAAATGGTGATGAATAAATACATCGACTATTTTTCTTGATGTTGGTTCTGTAGTTTACAGCTTCAGAACTACAATATAACTTAAACAACATAACTTAAATATTATTTAACAAAAATAATGTATAAAATCTTTTTTTTTACTCAAAAAATGGCAACTGACTTCTGATCTAAAGGATTCGTATGTGTGGTTGGCCAGATTTTTATACATTCTTTTGATAATGCCAAATTGATTAGTATAAACAGCATGGATAAAAGGACAATAACATTATACAGCAGGTTTGAAAAAGCACTTGTGAGGGTTAAGTTTATAATAATGAATCTGATTCAGATATTATCTATTTTTATTGATGGTTTTAAACAATTAAAATTTCAGCTTGAAGATATTGCCCTTTCAGGAATTAAAGAAGTATTTTTATTAGCTGCAATTTAAAGGAAGAAAAAGTTTTGTATTGTTAAAAAATTGAAATTTTTTTTTAAAGAGTTTAACATTTTTTTTTTTTTTTTGCAATGACCTGATTTAATTTTTTATTTTTGACACCAGCTTCACAGAGGTTTAATTCGATACTGTCTGTAAAATATATGTCAATGATTTGTCTAGATTTACTGGATAATCAAGAGATGTTTTGTAAATGTCTTGCACACACATATTTGCTTGGGTGTGGTCTGGTTCCTTTTCTAGTCCTTTCTTTTAAAATTGTGGATGATGCATGTTGACTCACAATTTGATTTTCAAAAAATTTGTTTCGTATTGATGTTTAGAATAAACCAGCCAGATAGCTTAAGGCTCATACTTTTAAATAAACCGGCCATTGTAAACATTTATTACACATAATATATGACATTCACATAATCATTAACATTTTTATAACAAATGTTTTCTGATTTGATCTAATGTTTGTTTGCACCAAAGTAAACCAATGTGATATTTAATATAAATATCATTTTTCCATTACTCCTTGTTCCACCACACATTTATTCCATTAATAATTCTTGCCAAGCTCACTAGTCATAAATACACAGCTTTTGACAATGTTTGTAGTTTCTTATGAAGATGTTAATCACTTGGGATTTACTTTTGTGTTTGTGTCTTTAAAAAATTGAAATATTTGCTAGTTTGAGCTATATAGATACATTTGCTTTGATTTTGCTTTATGGATGCACACACATATTTGAATTAGTGGGTAAATTAAATTCTTTTCTAACCTGGAAGTCACTTTTTTAGTGCATAAATAATAGTTCAACTGATGATTTAATTAAATATTTAGCTAAGTTTTATCCTGAATTCTCATTATTTCTTTATAAATAGTTCAATGAGTTTACTATCGATAAAGAAAAAAGCATTAGCTTTCTAGTTATCCCTTTAGAGCTGTTTTTTTTTTAAATTTTGTTTGTATAGCTTATCTTTTTAACATTTTAAAAATTTTTTTTGGTTGCACATTTGATGTGAGAATGTTTTATAGAGCAATAATAGTCTTCATTTAAAATAGCATTTTTATGTTAAAACTGCATTTAAAAATATTTAGGGGCATCTGATGTTTATTACAGTATTGGATACACGTTTTTGTCATTATTTTCTTTTAAAAAAAAGTAATTTTATTCGTTTTACGTTTAAAAGTGAATATGTACATTTTAAATTAAACAATACAAAATCTTTCTGAAGAATACAATTGTGAAACTTAAAATTGTTCTGTGCTTTGAAACTAATTTTTTTTAATTATTAGAATAAGCTTAAGCATTTCAGATGCAGCTTCAGAAGCTTGTTATTTTAATATTTTTAATGAGGTTCATTTTTTTGGAGCACATACCAACCTGAACATGAAGCAAATAGATCTAGATGAGCAGTTTATTTTATATTTTTTAAATCTTTATATTTAGATATCAGTAATCAAAAATGTCTTCTGGTAGAAAGTGGCTTTGGTACAAAATCAAAATTATGTGATATATTAAATAACAGTTCACTAATCTATACCATTAGGTAAGTCCAAAATATAATATAAACCTTAGAGAGAAAAAAAAGTATTGCATTTAAAAAATTATAAATTGGCTTTTTGGCAAATAGAATTTATTAGAGTTCTTCAGTAGCACCACCAGAATAAGAAATGGATAGAATATGTATCTACATTTCTACATCATTATTTAAACAACTTTAATGTGAATAGGATTTTTAAAGGAGATGAAAAAAACTATATATTGAATAGCAGAATTTAGTTTTTTTTTAAATATGTTTTGACAAATTATACACTTGAAGTAAAGACACCAATAATTAATTCTTTTTAATTGTTAATGAGACGGTTTTTAACATGTTCATTTTTTTTTTTACTGTGGGTAAATATTATGATCTGGAAAAACATTAAAAGCTAAATCAAGAAATTTAGACTTTTCTTTATTACAAGCTTTTTCCAGATTTTCTTTTTTTAATTGCAGCATATTTTAATTTTTTAAATCTGGTTGCATTTGTATGCATGTTGTCAAAATATATCTTATTGTATCCAATGGTTTATTGTGTGAATAAAAGTGTGCCAATACACATTATTTTGTGATACTGTGTGAAAGGATAACTTCAGACATGCAGATATCTTTTTACAGCTATTTAAACCTCAATAACATATGATATAAAAAAAAAAATTGGTAGGCCTAACCACGATTGCTATGCTAAAACTAGTATTAAATTGAATGTAGGGTGAAATGTCATTTTCTTTGCACATTTTTTATTAATTAAAGTTTCCAATTTTTATTATATAAATGATAAACTTCTCTTTTTTTTAAAAAAAGCAAGTGAACCCTATATTGGAGCTGTTTCCTCCTGGTGGTTTGTTCTCAGATTTACGTCCCCTTTTTGTAATGTCTTTGTGTTAAATTGGGATTTCTAATGGGACAGTTTTAAATAGCTGACCATGAATGATGTAACACTTCTGATTAAACATCCCGAATTATTTCAGCTGTTATGTTTATCAGGAAAATATTCCAAATTTTCAACTAATTATAAATATTAATTAATCATAGAACAGAGGAAAATAGATGATGTGCTGACAAGCTTTAATGGTATGAAAGTTTTGACAAGATTTGGATTCCAGAACCATCTCAAATCCTAAACCACCATAGTCTTAAATCTAATGCCTACGCATCATCTCCCTTACTTAACTGATAATATGTGAAAGTTAATCCAAAGTGGTGAAGTAAGACGTGTGAGTTGTATTCTAAAAAAAAAACAAGGAACAAAGGAGTATTCACAAAACTCATTTATTAATAATACTTAAGGTATGGGTACAGAATTATTTAAAAATTTAAAAACTAACTACCTGCACCAAAGTAAAATGCAAATTAGAACAATGGTAGGGCCTCAATGGTCATTTTGAAAACACTTGAACACAGAAGTTTGTTCATACCCATGCTTAATTAACATCAACTACCTAATTGTATTTTAGTTGTTGTTTTTTTTAAATCAAGTATGCTACATAATGACAAGTTCTACTAAACTTTTAAGTGCTATTTCAATTTTCTAAATAATTTGTCAAATGTCTCCATAACCATCTGATAAAAATTTAAATTCTTAACATGGCATAGAGACTTTTTAAAATTCAAATATCAAGTATGTTTAAAAATGCACATTCAAACATCTTACCATAAGCATTTACAAAAAAATTTTAACTCACCAAAACATGAGTCAAACTGATCGATTGTTTAATAACTCTCAGAAATTATGTTCACAACAAAACACATTTAACCAATATAATTTTTTTTACAATAACAATTTAATTTTGTTTTTAGTTTATTAGCTTATATGCTGAAAAATAATTATGGTTACTGTATTGTTCGTGTTCCAAAGGTATATTAATACATTGCGGACACAAAGAAAAACACAGCTTTAGAGACACAAAATTAAGGAGCCTAATAAAATAATTTCAATTTTTTTTTTAAATAAAGGTTAAAATCCTGAGATTTACAATAAATGGAATGTTAAAATAAAAACAAAAAATACACCCAAGAACATATGTAGAGAGCAAAACTGGTTTAGTTTAGTCATGCAGCTGAATGTAAATGTTTTAAAATAGTAATCAAACAGGTCTTCACCAACAAATAGGATATGAATTCTTAACCTACTTTTCATACCCAACCAGGCTCTTTTGTAAAACATATAAAAAACCCTAAAACATTTATTATTATTTTTAAACTTCTTACCTAAATTTATATTTCACAATGAAACATTGGTTACTGAACTTAAGTATGAAAATAAAAACAAATGTATAAATTGTAAATGTATACTGTTTAGTTTATATTGAGCAAATATTAATTATTTATACAATTCATATAATAATACAACCATGGTATACTGCATTGAAATTGGGTGACCGGAAAGATGCGCAATGGAAACCTGCACACAAAAAGGGCATTTTTGTTTTTCTTAAATCGAGTATTTATAGACATTAACAAAGAGAGACTACATGTGCAATGTAGCATAATTGGACATATTTCCACAACATATTATAAAATTAAAATGTATTAATATAATTTTTGTATTGGCGATGTATTCTGATTGCGCATTTTTCTGGGAACCTTGAAATTGCACACAATGTAAACTTTGAATATAGATATAGTGTTCTGGGACATGTACTGAGACAAAACACCATGGCACAAAGCCCATTTCACAATTGTAAAGAGAAGATTTCATTGTTATAAGTATGCTTTCTCTATAAAAAAAATAATGTATATTTAATTTTGTATTTTTAAAGGGGTAAGTCTTAACATTAATGACAAGAATAATTAATTTATATTAAATATTACACTACAGATAAATTTAACTTTTATATATATATATATATATATATATATATATATATATATATATATATATATATATATAGTTTAAACTCAATCCTTAAACAATAATTTCTATAAAAGATGACAAACTTAATGCAAACCTTCACACACACACACATAAAATACACATGTAATATATTGATTATTGCTAAGATAACTCAACCCTGTACCCCAAAAATAAAATGAAAAAAAAAAATACAACAATTCATGGAAGAGAATTCAGTAAAGCATAAAAAGGAAACAAACAATGTTAGAACCGAATACCAATCAACATGCCCATGTTAAAAAATTATTCAAGAAAAAAATGTTTACAAGATGTGAATTGAGGAGTATGGTAGCTAAGAACATGATGATACAGGTGTCAATATCACAGGTTTCAATGTTTTAATGGAGTAGGACGATGGGGAGTTGTTTTTATTTTGTTGTTATTTTGCATCGCTCAACAAAAAAATGGGGATTAATGGGATTGAGGGATGTAAATTACATATGCACTTTGCTTATGCTTTGAGAAAATGTAATAACAGTGCATAATATACCAGACATAATAAACAAACTGGTTGAATTTTTACACAATAAATTTTGTCTCGACTTCTAGTAAATAAGCTCAAATTTACTGCTTCAAAAACACAGTTCTTAGAAATATAAACCTTATGGTATATACTTTATATTTTTTAACATATTATCATTATGAAAAAACAATATTGTGAAACAAACTTATACGCATATACTATTAGTTTTCAGACTATTTCATATAAACCCAACAGTACTAGCAATAACAAAAAAATAAACTATAAACATTACCACAACCATTAAATATACTGTAACCAAAACTTTGGAAGTAAAGAGGAAATAATCCCAAACAAATAAATTATATCAGACTCCACAACCTACATACAGATGGTAAAAAATCTGGTCTAGCTGTCTATTGTGTCAAGTGGCAAGGATATGTACAAGCTACAAGAGCATATAATTTAGTTCACATCTTTCTGGATCACAATCATTGCATATTCTTGATCTGGAAATAAAAAGAACAGAAAATTTAGTTATTTTTAGAAAATACAGTGAGATCAACTGTATTTCATCAATTTCATTAGTGTTGGCACTTGTTTTAAGTTTCCTATATGGATAATATGAACTGCAGCCAAGCTAACAACATTAATTTTTCTTTTAAATCAGACTAGAAGTTTTAAACAAGGAATAAAAAGCTTTATAACAATAATAGTGAGAACAGCAATATTTTCAGATGTCTTCACATCTAATCATACTTAGATCTGAGTAGAGTTATGGAATAATTACATATATATTAACATACTACTATTTTTGTAAATACCTTTCCATAATATGGTAAACATTGTATAGAAAGCCAAGCAAATGTTTAGCTAAGACTAAGCTGTTTTAATTCACATCCAACTATTGTTTTTATAAAGGTGTGAATTCTTGGGACTATGTAGTCTAATCTAAATCAGGGGTCTCCAAACTACGGCCCGCGGGCCGGATGCGGCCCGCGAGGTCCTCTTATCCGGCCCGCTGAGATCTTTTTGTCCACGGAAAAAACGTTTGTTGGTGAAAAAATCAAAGACATGCCTGGAAGAAACTGGCCCCCGAACTGAAATTTGATAGTTAATGCGGCCCTCGGACTGAAAAGTTTGGAGACCCCTGATCTAAATTATCAATGACATTAACTCAAAATTTTATTTTTTTTGTCATGCACTTGATGATGCCTAATAGCCTTACAGTGAAACAAACAATACAAGCATTTATTGTTAGATTTCAGTACAATAATCACTCTTCCATTTATATTCCTATACTACTTCCCCCCCCCCCTCCTCCCCTACCACCAACACATGTATTTAAACTCAGCTTCAAAATATATGTACCAACTTCTCTACAGCTACACCACAACATAAAGCTCATATTTATTTCACCTGGTGCCACAAGGATTTCATGTTTCTTAGACCGGATCCTTATACACCTGAGATCGTTGCCTGAGTCGATTTCTTTTATCACTGATCTGGCTTTTGCTGCAAGGCTGTGGATTTGCGAGGCATAGTGTACGGTAGTTGTGTTGTCCAGTGTGGACTTGAGTGGGATGCCTGGTAAAAAAATAAATAAACTAAAATTATTAAAATTGAAGAGCAAAATATTTTTTAAAATTTAAAAATTATACATTAATATAGTGATGTAAAATAAATAAATGAAATAGATACAACATTAAGTCCATTAACAAAAATATTAACATTTTTTTGAGCAATTAGTTATCTATTTACTTTTACAACTCACCATCATTGTTGATGATAATGACCCCCATTACACCTTTATAAGCTTGAATTCTTTTAATGATTTCATCAATTTCTTGAGACTTGAAACATTTTTAATAAACCAAATTACTTAGTGGAAATTAAAGCTTCATATCTTAAATAGTCAAATGAGTCTTGGATAAAGCGTATTCTAACTTTCATAAATGGAACCTAATAACCTAAACTACTGTCTTAGGGGTCATGGGTGAATAACATTGACAGCGTTGGGATGTCAGAATTTTTGTGATGATGTGTGGAGGGGGGGGGGGGGTGTGTGTGTGCTCAAAAATGTAATTACATTTTTTTACAGTGCCTTTATGAGCCTCACGGTCCATGGGGCAAGTGAAGTAGAGTTCACCTGTTTCTGTGACCTCGGCATATGAAGGAGTAGTGTTGTCAGCATTATGCCCAGCACATTTACTTTCCCTAACGTTAGTCAGGTACCCATCAAAGCTGGGTTAACTCAAGGACATTCTATAGACTTGAGCCCAGTTTGGAATTAACTCAAGACCTTTGGGTTAGCATTAGTATGATCTACCATTTGACCACACTATAAACACTGTCCCATTAAAAATAATGTTAGAAATTAAATAAATAGGTTCCTATTGGCGATCATTTTGTGCTTTCTTTTTTTAGAATCGTAATAAAAATTGATTAGGCCTAGTAAACTCAAAGTTCACAGAGTTCAATTAAATACATTATTACACTTTTAAAGAAATCCCTGTTTTGAAATAAATTGCAACTTCACTGTTTAGGTATTTTAGGATTTTTTTTTTAATTTTTAGGGGTCTGGGTTTTCAATAGATTCTCTAGTTCAGTACAGTACTTTTTGTGAAATTAAAATCAAGATGTGATGGGGGGGGGGGGGGGGGCTAACTAATACTTAATTTATTAATAAAGACTTGATAAATCTGATAAATGATAGATCTAATGACTAATATTATAGTAATTATAATTCACAGTAAGTCTTGAACTTGATGATGATATTGATGTGCAATCAAATCTAGATCTAGGCCTACGGCCTACACTAACTAACTAATACTAGATCTAGATTCTAGTAATACTAAGCTTATTATAATAATAGACTAGTAATGTGTTGGATCTTGACTTATACAAGATACAAAAATCCTTTGGTAAATAAAAACAACAAAACTCAAATAATAAATAAATAAAATAAATCTGAGTCAATAGGGGCTTATTAATTTAAATTAATTAAAATTAAAATTGAATTGCCGACTTCTTGTGCCGAGGATTTAGCGAGTTAAAAAAACAGTACAGAGTATGAGGAGTACAGTAATAATAGCCTCAATTTAACATTTGTCTAGTTTGAATGTTTGAATGTTAAAACGATAGAATTAATAATTACCATCTTTCCAAGCCCTGAACTTAAAAATGTAACGAAAAATCAATTTAGATTCTAAATAGTAGACGACTAACTTAGTAACTTGAGTTGATTCGAAAGTTACGGTTTACTAACTTCCGGCGTTAGCGCATGCGTATCTTAAGTAATTACCTTAGCAACAATGTAAATAAATAAACTGCCTAGTGATGATGCCGAAGGTGTTGACATGTTAATCGTTATTGCTTTCCACTACAGTATTATCCAGCCGAGCCTAAGTGCTAAATTCGCATACATAAAGCTTATTAATTAATTAACAGCTAACGATTGCATTTTGTTATACACATTTGTAGCTTAGCTAGCAAACCTAAAAAAAAAAGACTGAAATGGGCGAAATTTAAATAGTAGTAAATAAATAGGACCTACTAACTAAACATGGGCAAATCAACAAATTATAAGATTATAATAGGATCTAGATCTATCTCTAATATAAAAGAAACAGATGCTCCATACTTCATCTGACCAATGAAAATTTTTTTGTGATGCAGCCTGAAGGTTTTCTGTGTAAACATGAGCTCACTCTTAAAAAAAAGATAAAAATTATGTAGAGAACATTTTTTCTTTCATTATTTTAAAATTTGTCTACACACTGTCAGTAAAGCAGTAAATTTATGAAGCTCCTCAAGGATTTTGTCAAGCTATACTATAATGCAGAGTGGTTGAAAATCAGGTGGCTCATTAAAGGGGTTGACATTGATCAACACAAAAGATTTAAAGAGAAAAAGAATACAATTTTATACAACCTTTCAAGACTTGTATCATACTAAAATAGTATATGCTATCATTATAGGGCAGAGGTTCTTAACCTTTTTTGAGGTACTGAACCCCACCAGTTTTATTTGTACATTTATTTCTAATACTTCAATCATCTGCACTGACAAAATCTGATTGTGAATCATATGAAACTTTGACCTCTACCGAACCCCTAAGACTGACTCAAACAACATAAATTATTTGAAAAACAAAATTGATGAAAGCTAATAAACTTGAAGTAACAAATCTGATTTCAATTATAATGTTTAATAACTATCTGAATACTAAAAAAAAATATGCAACAATGGAACATTTAGTGAAAAAAAAAATAATGGGTGAAAGATAGGTAATCAGCAGTGTGCACAATAATATTTTACTTAACATATATTTTCTGAGGTCCTGAGTGAATAAAATAGAATGTAAAGTTAACAAATTGAAATGTGTACATTCACAAATAGAAAAACATGTCTTCATTGGTTCAGTATTAAAATATTAAAATATAAGTACTGTATGTCAATGTGTTTGACTACTCAATTCCTTGGCTCTAATAATATCCCTTTTAACCTCAAAATGCAATGGGAACAGAAGCAAGACATCTTCTGCTGAATCTATCCTTTGAGCCACCATTTGTACATGCTACTTAGTCACAGCCCTGTTTAAATTGGGCATCAGGCTACATTTTGAGAACTACAACTCTCCCTTATCTAGTAAATGTGTACTAAGCAAAAACAAGTTACAAGGGGCATCTATATATATATATATATATATATATATATATATATATATATATATATATATATATATATATATATATATAATAACAGCTGTTGGGGGTACTTTTTCAAGCTTTACCCCCAAAAAATGTATATTTAAATAGAGGATTCTTAGTCACTTCAGATTTAAAACAGAAAATGCCACCTAGATTAACCAGCTCTTTTGCCATATTTTAGCTATTGCACTGGATGACATCAAACAAGAACGTATATAAAAATCTCTTGGTTGTACTAAACATGGTTTTTAAGATATTTCTAGATTATTTTTTTTCCAAGCTTTATGTAGATCTGTAGAACTAGAAAAAACAATGATAAAAGTTGCATCCTGTTCAAGTGACAATACCAACACACACCACAATTTTAAATTCAAGGAAAAAAAAATGTGTAAAATGGACGGAAATCAACAACTTTTGGTGTTAAATTGCACCTCTGTCAAAATGACTAGTTAAATCACAGTTATTGCAAAACGTTTAAGTTATATACAAAACTAGCTCCAGTAGTACTGATACTGTAACTAATATCAACATTTTGAATTTTATAGCCAGAAGTTTTAAAATTCTGAGAAAATCAGAGTTAAATACCAAGGAGAATCATTTGTATGTTCTAAGAAGATGTTAAAAAAAAATAATCACATTTTTCCACTCCAACTGTTTGTTTTCAAATAACATTAGAAATGCACAATGATGTCTTATTTCTCTGCACAGAAATTATTAACATATAGAATTAATAAAAATATATTCTTTTTTTTTACTAACATATGGACAAATATTATTTTTGTTAAAAGTATAGAAATAATAGAATAATAAGATTATTACTAAGCACTAGTGAAAACTCTTTTGATTTTTGTCAGTTAAATAAAGCCTATATTTGTGTAAGTGGTTTGGCCAACTTATATAGTTTGTAACTACACAGAAGTCATTCCCCTACAGTTTACACCAATTTTTTTTTTCTGTTTTTTAAAGTTAAAGATATTTACCTTTTCACACCTAAAAAAAACTTTGTAAGCAAAAATCTGAACTTATGAAGTGCACCAATTTAAATATACTGCAAGTCTAAATATTTAAATATTGATATTTAAAAAAATAAATTTTCAATATATCAAAGGTGGAAAATTAGCCAAATTACATATACATGTGATGTGAAACATTTCCATTACAAAAAAATGTGGGGGAAAAAACCCAACAGAATTGCAACATCAAATTCTGCTTTATATGCTTATATTCTGGTGATTATTGAAAACAAATATGTTTTTATAAACTTAAAAAAAAAAGATTTATAGTTCTATCGTTTTGCCACAAGTATGTGATGAAGTTTTTACATTTTACAAAAACAATGAAATGTAACGAAAAAAAAAGAGATCCACAGGTTCAAAAACAGAGGTTTAGTGGCATCCCCCCTTGGTGCAGACTGAGTTCAAAACTGCATGAGCTTCTTCCACACCATTAGCAGCTGCATGTGTGATCAGACGATGAGATTCACTGTTTCATAAAACAATGTGAAAATTTTATTCAATGGTAGATTCACAGTTTCAATAAACTTTGGCAAAATATAATAAAATATAGGCCTACAAGTTCAATTAAAAAACAAATGAAACAACATCAAATGCTTTAAAGAGCACAGTGGTCAGATCAGTTTTATTCCCCTGCAAATATTGCTTACAAAGTTAGGGATATATTGTTAGAATCAAGGATAAATATTTTTTCAACAAAGCAAAATTAATTTGAACAAATTTATGAATTTTTCATAACACATGATGATGCTGAATGGAGAAATAACCTAAACCAGGGGTCGGCAACCTTTTGAGTCTAAAGAGCCAAAAGTTACAATTTACAACATTACCCGGTTTTTAAAGAGCCACTAACATTTTCATGTCAATAGTATATTTGTTTGGGATTATATATATATATATATATATATATATATATATATATATATATATATATATATATATATATATATATATATATAACTTGTAAGATATGAGAATGTTTTTCGTGATGAAATAGCATTTTATTCAAATTTAGAAGTTCTATCTTCAATCACTGAAATATAATAAAATCCTACCCAGGTTTCAGGTCAGTTTTGTAGCCTTTGAGGTGCCCAATGGCCAGGTTATAAGCAGCATGGGGGTGACCTTGATCCGCCGCTTTCCTTTTTTTTTTATGAAATCAGGAATCAAATTTTAAGCAATAAAAGGAAAAAAATGAGGGTATGAAAATGATATTCTAAGTAAGTTTTTTTTAGAGTATTTTGTCCTGTAAAGATTATTTCTAACACTTACCTAAACCATTCCATAGCTTTTTCTGGGTGCTTATCTACTCCTTTCCCTAAACAAAAAAAAGTCAGAATTGAATGAAAATATATTTAAAAATCTTTTCTTTTTCAGTCATGCCTAGGCAATGTATGCCTTATACAAAAAAAAAACAAAAAAAAAGACAATTTTCGTTCACAAGAAAGCATATAGTTTAGAAAAAATGAAATTTAATATTTTCTAAACGATGCCTAAATACTACACATGCTCTGAATAGATAATAAAAGAAACAAACCATGCAAATATCTTTGTCCAACATGATGCTGAGCAACATCATAGCCAAGCCGAGCATAGGTATGAGACACATGAAAGTGGACATTGTCAAAATAGAACCAGCAGTACACAGCTCCAACAATGGTGAGTACAATCATAAAAACCTGGAAAATCAGTTGATAATCTGTCAGCGGGTCAAGCACAGTTTTCTGAATAGCTAATTAATGTTTAATAACTAAGTCTGCATAATTTTATATAGCTAATTTATAGCTAATTAATGTTTAATAACTAAGTCTGCATAATTTTTTATAGATAATTTATAGCTAATTAATGTTTAATAACTAAGTCTGCATAATTTTATATAGCTAATTTATAGCTAATTAATGTTTAATAACTAAGTCTACATAATTTTTTATGATTATCAGGTGAAGTCAAATGTTATGTATTTCTTAAACAAAATATAATTATATGTTATATATTAATAAATTGTCCTTATTCATAAATGCTTATTATTTTTTAAACAGATCTCCCTAATCCATTTTTTTGCTGCACAAAGCAATAAAAAAATAAAAACCCTTAAAGACCTATTTAGGAGGCTATTTCTTGAATTACAAGCACTCTGTGATTTGAAAGCCGATTATGCAACACAATAGTTCTTGGTGTTGTGTTTTTTTTTATTATTTTGTTTTGTACTTTGTGTGGTATTGAATTTTTTGTTACTCACTGATTAGCTAACTAGAGTGATTATGTCATTAGAGCCATGATATTAGAACTAAGATAACTATATTAACTAGCTAAAACTTAAAAGACGGTAGTAATAAGTACTAGCACAAGTACTAGATCTAGATAAGTAGATTTCATTAGAAGTATTACTACAACAAGTTGAGTAGGTCAGTAGGCCTACTTTTATTTAATATTTATTACAATGACATTAACCATAAACTTTAACAATACTCAGAACGTCACTGAAGAGATTACACTTTACAATCATCAACAACTTTTTTTAGGCTTTGTCTTTAGACTTTAGAGTTAAACAATTAACTTGAATTAACTACTCAACTCACTAAATAGCTGGCCTAGTCCAGTCGTATTGAAATGTATTACTGTAATGTTACAATTTTACATTAACTAACAATTAAACTTTAAAACAATATTTATTAAACATTTGTGCCGTGAACTTGTTACTAGATCTAGATTCTAGATCTACTTGTTACAAGTTAGTTTACAAGACACAAAACAAGTTCAATAACTAATAACTTTCAGTAGACAGTAACTTTCACTTTCAGACCAGTCTAACCAGTTCGGAGTACTTTCATACGACATACTTTCAGACTTAACCTGTAAAATATTTGTAGCTCTACCTCTAAAACATAAATATAGCATGGATCGGCTTTAGCTTTTCTTGCCAGTTTCAGTCTGCTTTTCAGTGGCAAGCTGTCCGGGTCCCATTTCACATTTGTTTCTTCGGATTCTGGAGTTAAAAGACGCTGCCTGAGCTCTTGGTCGGCCATCTTGTTTACATTAGAGATATAACGTGTCGCATCCAGCGAGCGACTTGGAGGCTGCTGTTGCTATAGAATTTTCCAGGGGAAGCTACTGGCTTAATTAGAAAAATCTATTTATCGGACTTGGTAGCAGATATAACACTTGGCCTATGTTTTGAGTTCGTAGAACACTGCGATACGCCGTAGCAAGTCGTTATAATTAAATTAGGCCCTATACTAACACGTGCAGGCCTATCTGAGTTTTTTTTTTTTAAATTGCAAGTTCAATCATAATTCTTGGATTGAGTTTTTTTTTTTAAATTACAGATAGGCCTATATGTGTTTTAAATTTGAAAACTATTTTTGAACTATTTTACTTTGTTTTACTTGATTGTTAAGTTTTCTATAGGCCTACTGATAGTATATTTCATTTTTACTTAAGTCATTGTTCCTCATCGTTGTCAGAACTTAAGTAGATTCGCTATAGTCTGTTGCTGAAAGCTATCGACGGTCTTTATAATAAGGCGACTCCTATAAATATTATAGATCTATCTATTATTGAGGGACCCAAAAATCTGTTTGAGAAATATTTCACAATAGATATAAATAGTTACACCGAATTTTCAATCCAAAATGTTTGTTCGTTATTAAAAAGCAATTCTTCCTATAAAGGCGGCAAATAGTTTTTACAAATAATAATAGTATAGGCCTAAACACGATGAAATGGGTTACTACTTTTTTTTTTTACTAACAAAGTATTTTTAATATTATGTATCATTAAGGTAAGCTTTGAAGCAGGTTCACCGAAACTTAGACAAAGAGTTTCTTCCAGGCATTTCTTCTACCGCACTCGGTGACACCCATCTTTGTGACGTCACTTGTGGGAACGCAATATTTTACGGGGATAAAAGTTTTCTAAGACTCTTAACAGAGAATCTTGATGATGGGAACTTAATAGCCTATTCAGAAGGAGCTTCAAGCAACATTGGAGTTTTATCTTTTATTGCTTTTTATTGCTATTTAGTGTTGTTTCTTATAGACTTTTTTTCTCTGGGGGGGGGGGGACACTTGAAATTTTCGGGGAGGGGGAGGCGGACTAAAATTTACGGGGGGGGGGGGGGTGCGGACACTGTTAAAAGTAGGCCTATACATATTCTATATAAATATATTTATTTTTATTTATTTATTTATTATTTATTTATATTTGTATATTCTATATAAATTCCATTTCGTTCAGAGGCCCCCCCCCCCCCCACCCCGGAGGATATGTCTTTAAGAAACACTGTATGGCATGTACTTATATTCGAAACGAGCTCAATTTTCAACCTGTGATTAAAGCACGCTGTGAGTTGACTGAACAAGGAAAGTTTGATGTTCCGCAGGCTCGTCATCTAGGCCTGCACTTTTAGTAAATAAAAATCTCGAAAACGAAATACAATAGGGCTGGTAAGTAGGTCACCAACCAGTTATATGACTCATGCAGGTTTTATTGAGCCGTAGAACTGGTTGGTGACCTACTTACCAGCCCTATTGATTGAATCAGTCAGGGGAACATTATGTTTATAACGATAGGGCACCTGGGAGTAGCCTATGTCCATACAAATTATTGTATTGAATATTATCACTAAGCTCATCTTCTCTAACATGTGCTGTAGCCGGCAGTAGATGAAGATAACGACGAAATTTTCTTGTATGCAAAGCGCAGAGAAGACAGTACCTTCAGAAAGGGAAGGGGGGGGGGGGGGTGCTGAACGCCCCGAATGACAGCAGTCCTAATTACGTCCCCCACTTCCTTCAGTCTGTACATCGATATTTTAATTTTTTTAAATGGGTATTATGTGTGATGAATAGTGTCAGAAATGGGACCTCCCCCCCCCCAAAAAAAAACAACAATCACCAACCCTCAGTAAAAAATAAACCTCAGTATGTCCATTGAAGAGCAGCAAAAATGAGCATGCTACAAAGCTTTTCTTTTTCCTTTAGAAAGAAAACTTTAAAATTCGAACAAACAAAAACAACTGTTTTCTTTATATATATATATATATATATATATATATATATATATATATATATATATATATATATATATATATATATATAATTTAGTTTGAGTAATATAAGTACTGTCTATGATTCTTTTTGCAAAACATTCTCAAGATTATTTCACAGACATGTAAATATGATTTAAAAACTTTCTAGTATGCCAACTTTTGTTTTATTAAAAATATAATTGAATTAAATTAGCCAAACAAAAAAAATAATAATAAACCTCATGCTTTTATTATATAAAAAAATACAAAACCAAAACAGTAAACTTAAAAATGTGACACAAACATTTAGTTCGTTCCCACGTGACTTAAAGTGTCAGACAGCTGTTCCAGCTACTGATGCAGGAATCGATCCACGGCTGATACGTCGGTATATCCGATACCAGGATGGGCGGGGTTTGGCCTACTTCCGTGTTGCAGTTGTGTTCACCGATTACTCCGCGAAGGACAGATTTTCCGTTTCTTTGACAGCTGACGAGTCCGCCCCAGTCAAACTGTATTCAAGAATGAAAGTAGATGGTTATTAAATCATCCAAAAAGTGACCTCACCCCGACATTAAAATTAGCCTTAGGGTCATCTGTAAATGACGTCACGCTTTTTTGACGATTTTGTTTACCTCCCCCACCCCTCCACCACACATTGTCATAGAAAGCCAGACACCCCCCCCCCTTAAAATAACGTCACACCTCAGCCTTCAGCCCACCCCTCCCATTTGCAGATGATTTTTTTTTTAAATTATCGATTTTGTTTTCTAAAATATTGACTAAACTCGGTCGGCATAAAGTATTTTAATCAATTTCTATTGCAATTTATTAAAAGAATTTTCGAAAACGCGAAATAAGGGCTAAAATTCATTTTCTAACATCACGTTTTAAAATGCAAAAGTGTGACGTTACATTATCAGACCCTCTCCCTCAACACACATTGTTACAAAACTACAGACCCTCCCCTACGAGTGTGGCGTCATTTATAGACAACCCCCCAATTGGCCTTTGACGGAATGATCTCCATCAGAGTTTCTACCCGAAAAACGTCTATCGCCCCCCCCCCCCCTTCCACCGAACAAAATAGCATGTATATAGAAAAAATAGACTTTCACCAGTGTCCAACTCAACGGAAAATTTTGCTCAGCCCCCGAAAATTTCAAGTCTCCCCCCCCCCCCCCCACAATAGAGAAAAAAATAGTCTGAAAGAAACTGATCTTTAATCGCCGATACTGTAGTAGTTTAAATTATCTCCAACACTAAACGCTTCAAATAATTTGTTTTAAAAAGGTACCTTATTATTCTGAGGCGTAGCTAGGCGGGGGCGGGGGGGGGGGGCCTAACCGGGTGACACCTTTTAGGGGTTGATACCAAGGCGAAAATTGCAAATTATATACAAGAAAAATGCGCTTTTGCAGTTCAGTTAATTATTAATTTGATTTAAAAAGCATTTTTAAGTACAAAATGACGATGTATGGTGGGGGGGGGGGGGGGGGGGGGGGGGCGCACACACGATGACGTGAATTTGCCATAGAGAAACCATCCAGCTGTATTAATATTATTAATAACCACATTGTTAATGTTATAATTAAATGTGACACCAACTGCAAAATTTATAGGAAAAAAAAAAGGTTTTGTCAAGTATTTTCAATAAAAAAAACCAGTCAACCCCAACCTAGCGACGCCGTTGTTATTATTTTCATATCCCTACAGCCAACTTACGAAACAAGCTTTGGTGTTTGGGTTTGACGGCTCCGCCAGCAGGGTCCCCGTGGGGGGACCACGCCGCAATAGTTGATATGAGAGCATGTTGGTGAGGAAATTCCCAAGCACGGTGATGTTGGCGTAGCGGGGAAGCCTGGAGTTTGTTGGCTTGCTGTTTTCTGGGGAGAGTTTCAAATGGTTTGGTAAGAAAAACTGTTTTCATACAAGCGGAATTAAATTAGTATCATAAATAAAATTGTATACAAGTAGAATTCAATTAGTATGATAAATAAAATTTGTAGGCCTACACAAGTAGAATTAAATTAGTATCATAAATACAATTGTATACAAGTAGAATTCAATTAGTATGATAAATAAAATTTGTAGGCCTACACAAGTAGAATTAAATTAGTATCATAAATACAATTTGCACATGAGCAGAATAAAATTAATATCATAAATAAAATTTGTATACAAGCAAAATTAAATTAGTATCATAAATGAAAATTGTGTATGAACGGTCTAGCGGTTAAGACTTAGACTGCTAACCCGTAGGTCTCGAGTTCGAAACCTTGTTCAAATCCTTAGAATAGGGGTTCCCAACCTTTTTTTATTCTATAGCACATTCTAAAATATCGGTAGGGTGGCGGGCACCACATATTTTAATTATTTTAAATCGACAAACTCCTTTCAGGGGCGTAGCGACCCTTCCCGTCATCCGGGGACAAAACTTTCGATTTGCACACCCCCCCCCCCCCTCAAACTTTTGATTTGCACCCCCCCCCCCCCTCAAATTTTAGATTTGCATCCCCCCTCAAACTTTTGATTTCCATCCCTTTCAACCTTTCAATAATGTTTATGAAAAAAAATCCTGTCTCTGTCGAATAGTGAGAGGCGGGCACATACGAATCGTTCGGCGGGCGCCATGGCGCCCGCGGGCACGGGGTTGGGAACCCCTGCCTTAGAAACTACCTGAGTCCACCCAGCTCTGATGGGTGCATATTTCACGTTAGGGAAAGTAAAGGTGGCTGGGCATAGTGCTGACAACTTTGTCCCTTCAAATGCCGATGTCACAGAAACAGGTGAACTCTACTTTCCTTCCCCCGTAGACCGTCATGTTTTCGAAGGGGAACTTCACTTTTACTTTTACAAGTAGAATTAAATTAGTATCATAAATAAAAATTGTATACAGGCAGAATTAAATTTACAAAACAACAATACGTCACCAAACCTACTAACATACAAAAGGTCACCTAGCAACTCGCCAACATAAGATCACCAAACAACATCCAAAATGTCACCTAACAACTCACATACAAAAGGTCACATACCAACTCACCAGCATCAATTCACCAAAACAACTCACAGCATAAGGTCACCTTAACAACTCATTATGCAAAAGGTCACCCAAACAACTCACATGCAAAATGTCACATATCAACTCACCAGCATCAATTCACCAACAAAAACTCACCAGCATGAGGTTACCAAACAACTCACATGCAAAAGGTCACCTAACAACTTACATATATTAAGTCACCAAAACAACTCACTTAGCAAAAGGTCACCAAACAACTCAGCAGCATAAGGTCACCAAAACAAATCACCTGCATACGGTCACCAAAACAGCACATGCAAAAGGTCACCAAATTAACTCACATGCAAAAAGTCACCAAAACAACTCACATGCAAAAGGTCACCAAAACAACTCGCATGCAAAAAGGTCACCTAACAACTCACATGCAAAAGGTCACCAAAACAACTCACCAGCATAAGGTCACCAAACAACGCACATGCAAAAGGTCACCAAAACAACTCACATGCAAAAGGTCACCTAACAACTTACCAGCAAAAGGTCAGCAAAACAGCTCACATGCAAAAGGTCACCAAAACAACGCATGCAAAAGGTCACCAAACAACTCACATGCATAAGGTCACCAAAAACAACTCACCTGCATAAGGTCCCCAACCAACCATCACACATGTCTTATCCACGTCATTGCAGGCAGCAGGGTCAGCCTCCATCTTAACGGCTGGCTGCACACAGTCACTCAACCGTGCAGGGGTAACCAGGCGCACCAGACCAACGTTGTTATCTAAAGGGACGAAAATAAACCATATAAAGGGAAATCACTATTGTTAATTTAAGTGGAGAAAATAAATATAAAAGGGAAATCACTATCGTTAATTTAAGTGGAGAAAATAAATATAAAGGGAAATCACTATTGTTAATTTAAGTGGAGAAAAAAAGGGAAATCACTATTGTTAATTTAAGTGCAGAAAAAAATATAAAGGAAAATCACTATTATTAATTTAAGTGGAGAAAATAAATATAAAGGAACGACAATAAACAACTACCATCCATATAAAGTATAAAGGGAAATCACTATTGTTAATTTAAGTGGAGAAAATAAATATAAAGGGAAATCACTATTGTTAATTTAAGTAGAGAAAATAAATATAAAGGGAAATCACTATTGTTAATTTAAGTAGAGAAAATAAATATAAAGGGAAATCACTATTGTTAATTTAAGTAGAGAAAATAAATATAAAGGGAAATCACTATTGTTAATTTAAGTAGAGAAAATAAATATAAAGGGAAATCACTATTGTTAATTTAAGCGGAGAAAATAAATATAAAGGGAAATCACTATTGTTAATTTAAGCGGAGAAAATAAATATAAAAGGGAAATCACTATTGTTAATTTAAGTGGAGGAAGTTGTCTGATACGCAAACATGGCGAGTACTTCGCTTTGAAAACAATGTGTAGTAAAGGATATCAAATGCAGGGGGGAAGGGGGGGGGGGGGTGTCGGCTTGGTTGGGCCGGGCTGGTAAAGCTCATGGTTGCTAAACCGGAAAGTCATGAGTTCGAACCCCCTGGATCGATAGCTGGGGACAGCAATCCATCGAGGAGAGAAAACTCCAAATCAAGCAACTGCTGCCTTGTAGTTTGTTCTTGGACAAAGGAAGCAAATTCAAAAAGAAAATCAGGCGGAGATCAGAGTCAACGGCCTATTCGACGTATATAAATTTGTCATGTAATAGTTAATTGTGTTAAAGGAAATACCGTCTAACATAATTAAGAAGGAATACAAAAAAACTGCAGGGGATTTCCTTCAACACAAATAGGCCTAATCATTAGGTGTCAACATGTTATGCCTCGTTCGTATCCATATGGCCCGTTGATTCCGACTTCTGTTTTCTTTCTGCATTTGCTGCCATAGCCTTTGTCTACCCAGGACCAATCTACAATGCAGCAGTTTGATTTTGGAGGGTTTCTTCCCTCCTAGAAGTGTTGCTGTCCTCAGCTAAAGAGCCTCACGTGCCCTATGGCTCGAACTCAGGACTTAACCGTTTATGAACCATGAGCTATCTTTGCCACACACGCCGATCTTCTTCTTCTTCTTCGTTCTTAATTCTAGTGGTGTTAACAAATTTTATGCGCCATATAGGCCGTTGACTCCGATTTCAGTCTCCTTTTCTTTTTGGATTTGCTTCCATAGCCTTTGTCCAACCAAGGACAAACTACAAGGCAGCAGTTGTTTAATTTTAGAGTTTTCTTCCCTAGAAGAGTTGCTGTCCCCAGCTATCAAGCCTGATCTGCTAGGGGTTCGAACTCTAAACTTTTCTTTTCAGCAACCATGGGCTTTACCAACTCGACCACGCCGACTCCACACGCCAACCCAAAACAGTAATAAACCTAAAAATAGCCTACTCACCCAAAGTGCTGTCGTTGTACATCCTGTGGACCTTGACACTGTCTATGTCAATGACCTGCTCGTCCCTGTCGGTCATGAACATGTCCCTCTCCCCGACGATGGCCTTGATGGGGATATCCTTGAGAGCCAGGAACCTGCAAGCAGAGAGAACGTGAGTACCTCACTGTGTGTTGGCGCAAACCAGCCCACTACACTCAACTGATTGAAATTATTATTCATAAATTATTCCACGTGTTTTTTTTGGCCAATCCCCCTTACCCCCCCCCCCCCCCCAATCACACCAAATCGTCACAAAAATTAGACTTTCCCTCTTCTATAAGCACGTCATACTTCAACCCCCCCCCCCCCCCACCCCGAGTTTTGGGGGATATGGGAGCAGGCCTCCTCTCCCCGGGTTAAACTTTAAAAAATTGTGTAGAAAAATATATACTTTAGCCCATGTTCGACCTTATTTCTCATAACTTATAATTATCGCAACCACACCCACGTACGTATCTTGATTAAAAAAAACTTATTGAAAGACGCAGTAATCTAAAGCCACCACATCAAAAATTACTTACTGGAAGTCTGAAAGACACAGTAACTTTAAGCCACCTCATCAAAAAACTTACTGGAAGATGCAGTAATCTAAAGCCACCCGACCGAAAATTACTTACTGGTAGACGCAGTAATCTAAAGCCACCTCATAAAAAAAAACTTACTGGAAGACGCAGTAATCTAAAGCCACCAGATTAAAAAATTACTTACTGGTAGACGCAGTAATCTAAAGCCACTAGATCAAAAATTACTTAAAGCTACCCAACCAAAAAACTTACTGGAAGATGCAGTAATCTAAAGCCAACAGATAAAAAATTACTTACTGGTAGACGCAGTAATCTAAAGCCACTAGATAAAAAAACTTACTGGTAGACGCAGTAATCTAAAGCCACCACATCAAAAATTACTTACTGGAAGTCTGAAAGACACAGTAACTTTAAGCCACCTCATCAAAAAACTTACTGGAAGATGCAGTAATCTAAAGCCACCCGACCGAAAATTACTTACTGGTAGACGCAGTAATCTAAAGCCACCTCATAAAAAAAAACTTACTGGAAGACGCAGTAATCTAAAGCCACCAGATTAAAAAATTACTTACTGGTAGACGCAGTAATCTAAAGCCACTAGATCAAAAATTACTTAAAGCTACCCAACCAAAAAACTTACTGGAAGATGCAGTAATCTAAAGCCAACAGATAAAAAATTACTTACTGGTAGACGCAGTAATCTAAAGCCACTAGATAAAAAAACTTACTGGTAGACGCAATAATCTAAAACCACCAGACCAAAAATTACTTACTGGACGTCTGAAATACGCAGTAATCTTTGGCCACCTCATCAGAAAAACTTACTGGAAGATGCAGTAATCTAAAACTACCAATTCAAAAATTACTTACTGGTAGACGCAGTAAGCCGAGGTCACCAAGATGGTGTCAGTCAGCATGACGGCCGAGCAGAAGGTGACGGGGCCGGTGGGGGAGGTAAACTGCAGCGCCACCATGGCGTTGTAGGGCGACTTGCACCTGTCGACGACCTCTGTCCCTCCGATGACGCGGGGTGTCAATCCTATATAGAGAAGGTTAATTAATTAATTAAGACAGTTTACTTTTTTTTAAAGTTATTTCAGCATCATCCTTTCTCGTTCGTGCCCAAGACACAAGGGGAAGATGAAGGGGGTTTATCTGAATCAATGACCTCTTGAAACTAGTGTTGTTCCACCCAGCTCTGATGGGTACCTAACTGACGTTAGGTCACTCAAGTTAGGTCACTGACGTGACATGCAGGTCTCTGACGTGTCAGGCAGCTGTTTGACGTGACATGCAAGTCCACCCAGCTATGATGGGTACCTGACTCACGTTAGGGAAAATAAAGGCGGCTGGGCATCGCGCTGACCACACTATTCCCGCATATGCCGAAATCACATAAACATTTTGAACTCAACTTCACTTGTCCAATGGATCGTCAGGTTCAAAAAGGAACTTGACTTTTTCTTTTAGGTATTTTCACTTCACAGCCTACACTCACGTACAAACTCAATCAGACAACCATGGACCGTCAGGTTCGAAAAGGGAACTTGAAAAGAAACTCCCTATTCCATAACGTTTTTGTACTTAGATTTTCATCTACATTTTGAGACAAGATCACATTAATAATTTCAGCACCTTTGATTTCGGCCTTACGATAGAACAACTTTGTTTACCTCGCACCCAACCACCCTTCAAACTTTTTACCTCCCATCATCTCCCCTCCGACCCTATTAACCCCACCCACCCTCCCATCCATTCTTCTTCATACCATTTCACCTCCCATCCCAGTCCCGTCCCGTCTCACTCATCCACACTCCCACCTTATTACCATCTCCCCCCAATTCTCCCCTCTCCCGGTCTCTTTCCCTCTCCTCCTCCCATCCATTCTTCTTCATACCATTTCACCTCCCATCCCCGCCCCGTCTCACCAATGAACCCTCCCACTTTATTACCATCTCCCCTCCCATTCTCCCCCTCTCCCGGTCTCTTTCCCTCTCCTCCTACCATCCACCTTGAAGTAAAAAAGATTTCTCTTAAGACCTAACGAAGCGGAGTTCATATGTTTCTTGACCTCTGCATATAAAGGGATGATGTGATCAGTACTATGCCCAGCCGCCTTTGCTTTCCCTAACATGAGTTAGGTACCCATCTGATTTGGGTGGACTCAGGGACGTTCCACTAGCTTGAACCCGGATTCGAACTCGAAGCTATTGGGTTAGAAGTCTAGCGCTCCGCTGCTAGGCCACGGCGTCCCATCCTCGTTAGTACCTCTCATAATTCCCACTCTCCACCCTGGAACAAAACCCACTATAACTTACTTGATTGAAGTCTCATTCCACTGACCGTCACACAAAGGCACAGGGCCAAAAGTGGACACAGGACAGATGCTGATCTCATGCTAAACAAATGGAATATTCAGGAATATTAAACTTCATTTTTGACGTCTATAACATTATTTATTAATAAAAGACTATTCAGTCTTCTTGGAATAGTTTTTTAGTTGTTTTTTTTTTTTCAAAATAATTTTATTTATTTTGTAATAGAATGTAGTCAATACAAAATATTGTTTTCAAAAGATGCTACTGTTGAAAAAAAATACCATCTTGACATTTTCTTGGGAATAAAAATTAAGAACTCTAGAGTAAAAATCAAATTTTAAGTAGCGAGTTGCGCAGCTTGCGCCGTGACCTTTGTTGCCATGGTAATCATGGCTGTACCTTGAACCTAAATTCCATGTTTCCGGTTGCCCATTGGTAATTAAGGCCATGTCGCTTAAGGCGAAACCACAGCACACCTGATCTACGCATGACACAGTGCGCATCTTTGTTTTAACCTCAAGAGGATTTAGATTCAAAACCTATTTTAATTTTTGGATCTCGTTTATTAGCTTACAGAGGAGCAATGTGCTGAAATATAAGGTAAGAATCTATAAATAATAAGGTACTTAATATTTACATTGACATGCCCAAATGTTGACTAGACTAATAATTGGGTCTTCTAAAATTAACCTATATTTTAAAATTACGATTTCAATGGTCCGCAAGCCTAGGAAGGCTCACCGCGATAGAGCCTTAATTTCGCGCCAAATTTCCTGTGATTCTTACATTATTAAAATATCGCATTACTTGATTACTATTAGTATTACTATAGGCCTACTAATATTAATAATTTAGTTTAAGTAGCCTACATTACTGTAACATTACATTTACTAAATTATTACGGTTGATTAGGACAATAAGCCATTAGGTCTAGATCTAGACTTTACATTAATTTAATTTTAAGATTTTTACACAAGTTGACTTAAATTTTGATCTCTAGATTTCTAGACTCTAGAAAATAGAAAATTTAGACTCTAGTATTAAGTATAGATATCTAGTAGTAAATAGGCCTAGAATAGATCTAGATGATATTATTAATAAGATAGATAGCCTAATAGATTCTGGATTTAGAAAAACGAATCCAGATTACTAGCTCTATTGAGTATTGATCTATAGTCTATAGTATAGTAACTAGATCTAGTAAAAAATAATCTAGCTTTAGGCCTAGATCTAGTTTAATTCTAGATCTAATTTAATCTTAAATCTATAATCTATAGGCTAATAGTAATACAATAGTATAGGGCCTACACTAATCTAGATTCTAGTAAGAAATAAAAGGTACTAGTTAATTTTGATATAGATCTAGATCTAGAATCTAGATAAGTTAATTAATTATATAATTATATAGTTATATAGGCCTAAGTGTTCATCTAATTCTGCATTAAGTATTAAGTAGGACTAGGCCTATATCAATTCATTAATTAGCCTATTTATTTTAATTCAGTACATTTAGTAGATGAACACAATCATTTAATCATTATGTTTGATTAGGTCATACAAGTACTAGTCTAGATCTAGATTCTAATCTAGATCTTGTAAAAATAGTGAGACATTGTTAAATGGTTAAGAATAGATTTAGACTAGTGCAGGTATAATTCTCCATCAAGTAGGCCTATATATTTAAATTAATGTAGGCCTATGTATATATCCATAATTAGGCCTATTAAGGACAATTTTAGTACTTGATAATTTTATTAATATTAATTTAATTCTAGAATTGTGTGCCTAGAACTTGGGTCAGTTTGTTTTCTTTGTACATCTTATTTGCTTATAGGCAAGACCAACAAGGTGTAAGAAGGATTGCTAATGTAATCAGAAACTTGATGGCTGATATAAAGCGGCTGAGGAGAACAGGCTTGTGACTGGGAATAGGTTGGTGGAACTTGTGTACAGCCCTTTCTATGTTCAACCCATGTCTCAGGTGGAAGTACATTCAGTAAGTATGGAGACTGAATGTATTTCTAATGTTTATATTTATTTTATATAGTTTGCAATATGTTGTGCTAGATATATATTTTGTGAAATGGTCTGCTAAATTCTAATTCCATTTGCCCTTCTCTTTTCAGGTAGTTTTCATGGAGATCCAGCTTTATTTAAGGCTCATCTTAAAGAGAATGATGTGGCTGCTGGGACATAACTAAAATCTACATTCAACTGCTTGCAGATCTCAAGAAGCCTGGGGTTCTCATGCAGCGCCGCAAGCACTCAGGCTGATTGGGAAGTTAATTTCTGGTCCTTCGATAAAGCTCAGTTACAAGAACGCAATGTGGCGATCAAATGTATTCTGTTTCTTAAAGTCATGGAAGCGTTGTTGACTTCTACTGAGCCTTTCTTGGTGCGACAGCTGGAGAGGTATCTGATGGGAAATCTGATTGGTGTCTAGCTGACTCATAAGTGGGAGCAAGGTGATCAAGGTGTGTCGCAATACAGTGGAAGGACTATTAAAAGACTGCCAGCAACAAAACAAAAGTCAGCTCTTTACACCATAAGCTACTGGGCAGAGGATAAGGATAATGCTGAGGATTTCAGTCATCGGGCAGAATCACTGGTGGTTGACTTTATAGGAATCTTGTTTTTCTTTCTGAATAATAGCTAATCAGAATTTCAGAGTACTTCTTTCATTTTTAGTATAAAAATGAACTTTATTTTTTAAACATTAGTGTTTTTGTAAATTGTTACTGAAAAAATGATTGCTGTGAATTGTAAACTTATTTTGAAAACTAATACTAACAATGTTTATAATTAAGTTTAGTGTTCATAGTGTAAAAAAAAATTACATTTTAATTAATTACTTAACTTATTTTTCAGGGTAATTGAAATCAGCTAGATAATCCTAGAATCAGTAGTCAATGTGCTTCTTTTCCTTAGATGTGCTAATTGTATCTAAAGATTAATTATAATTGATACTTAAATTGTTTTAACACTAAAGAGACTAAAGTGGTCCAAGAAATTTTTCGTCACCTATTTTTTTTCCAGCATACATTCAATAAATGGGTTAGATCTAGATCTACTAGTAATTATACTTTAAACCAATATTTTAATGTTTATTCCTCGATAATTAATGCTACTTTTCTTCTTAAGAGGGATCATATTGAGAAGAGGCTAATTTCTTGATTATGTAACTGTTTTACAGTACTGTGTTGATCGTAGATTATACAAGGGCTAAATTTAGGTTGTCACTATGTAATTTATTTCTTTGCTCTTATAAACATATTTTTAAATTATTGCAAAAAATCTTTTTTTTACTTTGCCATTCTCCTAAATGTTTCTATTTTATTAGACAAAATTAAAATTCATGTGGTAATCTGATTACTGTATTTTAATGATTTATATTTCTTTTAGCAAACATTGAAATGTCAGTATGCATAGTTCAGTAGTAATAAACACTGGTACACACTTTGACAGCTATTTTCTTTTTATTTTGATCTATAATTTTATTATGGCCTCCTGATATAGACACTGAATATCAAGGGGGGGGGGGGGGGGGGTTGAGAAGGTATCGTAAAGGCAACCAGTTGCTACTTCCATTTTCCATGTGGTGTGTGTGCAGGTCTACTCTACTTCATCTACCCAAGTAATATCGTTATTACAATTACATTAAAGAACTTGTGAAGTAATATGTGCTTATGCATTTCTATTATATAATAGTATTAACAGTATTAAATATTAATAAATCGATTTACAATAACTAGATCTAGTTTATTTTAAACCTACATTAATTTTTTTTACACGGAGTAATAAGTCAATAATAAAAAATGAATCATGAATGGCATTAAATTACTCAGTCAATCATATCCAGTCCAGTATAACTTAGGCTTTAAGCTTGATTATAATTTTTTAGTTTTAAAAAAATGCGAATCCCGGATGATGCAACAAAATTATAATTTTTTAATTTTTCGAAAAATGCGAATCCGTGATGATGCAATGAAAAAACCATCGGTGCCAACTTTTTTTCTTGCGTAACATAGACTTGAATTACGAAGGTCTAAGCTGTTTAAGCCACGCCCACAAATTTTTAAAAGGCCATATCTTAGCTCCTAATTAAGCTAGAGACACAAAATTGGTATCAATGTGTAGGGAAAAAAATCCTGTTTGTTTGTGGTATAATTTTACTCGAAATTAGTGGAGTTTAAAAATTACGAGCAACAGCCTATTTTAAGCCTTTGGAAAAATAACGTATAGTGACAATCTCAATTCTTAAAAAAAAATCTTGTGTGTATTATCAACTCAAAAAACAAACAAACACAAGTCCTGATATTATTGTTGCTTGTTTTACCTACAAAAACAAAGACAACGAAACAATTCAGACTTACTTGATGTGTCAGTCATGTTGCATTTCTAACCAAACAAAATAAAGTCAACGAAAGAAAACAAAGACTTACCAACGAAAACAAGACAACGAAACAATAGTCTTATTTGATGTTTCTGTTTTGTTTGACCAACGAAAACTAAGTTAACGAAAGAAAATAAAGCCTAGCTTAATGAGTCTGTGATGTTGCCTATCTGACCGAAAAATTCAGCGAAAGAAAACAAAGACTTTTTTGATGTGTCTGTGGTGTTACTTATCTAACCAACAAAAACGAAATCAACAAAAGAAAAAAAAACAAAGTCTTACTTGATGTGTCTATAATGTTTCTTATCTAACCAACAAAAACGAAATCAACAAAAGAAAAAAAACAAAGTCTTACTTGATGTGTCTGTGATGTTTCTTATCTAACCAACGAAAACGAAATCAACAAAAGAAAAAGTCTTACTTGATGTGTCGGTGATGTTGCTTATCTAACCAACGAAAACGAAATCAACAAAAGAAAAAAACAGAGTCTTACTGGATGTGTCTGTGACGTTGCTTATCTAACCAACGAAAACAAGACAACGAAAAAAAAGTCTTACTTGATGTGTCTGTAATGTTGCTTATCTAAACAACGAAAACAAGACAACGAAAAAAAAAGTCTTACTTGATGTGTCTGTAATGTTGCTTATCTAACCAACGAAAACAAGACAACGAAAAAAAATAAGTCTTACTTGATGTTTCTGTGATGTTGCTGGTCTGCCAAAACGAAAACAAAGAATGTCTTGAGACAAGAAACGATGCGGCACCTGGACATAGACTCTCGGCCCCTCCCACAGAGATTTAATGGGAAAATTGTACAGGATAAGCGTACAGGGATAGCGTACCCAAAGTAACGAATTTATCAAAATACTTTAATCTGCCAAATGAAATAGAATGTATCTGTTTCAGTGCCCACTGCATATAAGTCAGTCACGTACAGAGTTTCTTTCAGGACGTCACTCCCCCCCCCCCTCCCCGACGAAATAGAAAAAAAAAGGTTATTTAACCAGTGGTCCCCCTCCCTTCGGAAAATTAAGTATGTTCCCTCCGAAAGATTCAAGAGCTCTTGGAACTTGAAGGCGCACGGCAGGGAAGCAGCTAACAAAGGCAGGGCTTTTATGGGGGACTGCCAGGAAAATTGCTGGAGACAGACACAAGTTTGAGGGAGCTTTCTGTGGTGGCCCAATGTGTCTTAGGCACAAAGGGGAAAAGATGATGACGAGGGTCGTCCTTAGGTCAACGTGATCGGGTCGGTAAAGCTCATGATTGGTAAAACGAAAGGTCTCGAGTTCGAACCCCCGGGTAGATGAGACTCAATCGCTGGGGACATCAGCTCATCCAAGAGAAAAAACACCAGATTCACAGAACTTTTGCCTTGTAGTTTGTTCTTGGATGGAGTAGGGCTATGGAAGCAAATCCTAAAAAGGAAAGCAGACTGAAATTATAGCAGTGTTTCTTCCAGAATTTTTTTTATCTCGGGGGGGGGGGAGGGGGGAGGAAGGGGCACTTGATGTTTGGGGATGTGGGGGGGGGGGATGACACTGGTAAAAGTATATGTTTTCTATAAAAATTCCATTTCGTTCGGGGGGGGGGGGGGGCAGACTTTCTCCGGGGGGTTGGGGGCTAGCCCCAAGAAGAGATGTTTGGAAACCCTGAATTGGAGTCAACGGATAAAAATTAAAAAAAATCACACACTGGTTATTACGCTACTAGCTACGAAATAAATAACAACCAAACATTCGTTAGTTTGTAAGTTTTTATTCAACAAATTTCCAGTTTCTTTTATAATTCTGGGTACGTTTTCATCCGACTTGGACTTCGCGCATGTGCAAACAATCGCGCCTCAAGTGCAAACACGGATGTTCACACACACTCACCGGCGCATAGAAAATGGCGGCGCTTTGTTTACCTACGTCACCACCGCCATTGAATGATCTCCCCTTTCCTTCGTGACACCATCTTTCTGGTAGAAGGATATTTACCCGAATTAGACATTCGTAGCCTTGTTCTCGGCAGTTTAAAAGATTACATGGAATTAAAGTTAAAATAAAACGAGAGTACAATTTTTTAAGTGGGAAGGGGGGGGGGGGGAGGGGCGCGGAAGGGGGGGGGGAGGAGGGAGGTCAACAGTTTTACAAGGATAGCTCTTCATTAGTTCAGTTACTTCATAGTGTTGTAGGCAATAGCCTAAGATATGGGGTCATCCATAAATGACGTCACGCTTTTTTGGACGATTTTTACCTCCCCCCTCCCCTCTGTCACACGTCGTCCAAAAAAGCAAGACCCCCCCCCCCCATAAAATGACGTCACACCTCAGCCGACACCCCCCCCCCTCTCAAAATTGTTTTGAATTTTTCTTAAAACATCGTTATTTTTCCAAAATCATATCATAACTCTGTCAACATAGAGTATTTATTTGATCAATTCCTATTACAATTGATTAAAACCGTTTTCTAAAACGCGAAATAACGGCAAAAACTCGTTTTCTAACATTGCTTTTTTATAATGCAAAAAAAGTGTCGTCACACCATCTGAACCCCCTCCCCCTCATCACACACCGTCACAAAATTACGGACCCCCCCCCCTTCCTCCTACGAGTGTGACGTCATTTATTGACGACCCCTATGCACATATTTGAAGAAAATTGTACCGTAAAGCACGATTTATCCCATGTGTTGACCCTTAGCGATGTGTGTATAGAAATTACATTACTCACTAGTGCCTGAATTAGGAATAAATGCCCCTCCATCTGACCCCCCAAAATATATGGTCGGGATTCCATTTATACGTCAAACACACACACACATACACAGACATACACACACACCACACACACACATACCATTCACACATACACACATACACACCACACACACATACACACACATACACATACACATACACACACACACACACATACCACTCGCACGTGAGCACAGACGAATGATATCAATAGCCCGCATTGGGACTACACAGCATGGATGAAAAGTATTGGTTAAGTTCCCCTATCCAAACCTGACGGTCTATGGGGCAAGTGAAGTAGAGTTCACCTGTTTCTGTGACCTCGGCATATGAAGAGATAGTGTGGTCAGCACTATGCCCCTCCGCCTTTACTTTCCCTAACGTGAGTTAGGTACCCATCAGAGCTGGGTGGACTCAGGGACGGTCTACTGACTAAGAACCCGGATTCAAACTCGAGACTTTTGTGTTAGCAGTCTAGCGCTCGAGCGCTAGGCGACGCCGTCCCATTGAAAAGCATTACACCGAGACCAATTAGAAGAAGCAAATAAATTATGCCATGCCCACAACCTTATCCCATAATCTGGTAAAAGTAGAAAAAAGAAATATTCTCTATGCTCAAAGCAAACAATTAAAAACAGGATGTATAACTTATATGACATATGGGAAGGGGGGATCCATTTATGACGTCAACATGGAGAAGGAGGGGAGTGGGGGGGGGTAAGGTAAAAATCGACTTGTGTTGACTGGAGAGAGTGGAGGGGGGGGGGGAGGAGGTTCGGTCCATGGACGCCCACTTGTAAAATTTAACATCGAAATACATACTGGGGTTATCCTTAAACGACGTCACGTTGTTTTAACGTCACGAAAAGCCAGAACCCCCATTCCCTAAAATGACGTCACACCTTAGTCTTCCACCCACCCTTCAATATTGATTTTTTTTCAACAATTTATTTCTAAAATATTTACTGAGCTCGGTCTACATCGAGTATTTGAATCGGTTTTTATTACATTTTACAAAAAAGTGAATCTTTTTATGGCTAAAACTCAGTTTCTAATATTATTGGAAAAGTTTCGTCAAAATTTCTGAACCCCATCTTATATTGTCACGATTTGGCAAGCAACGTTCTCTACACGGCAGAGGCGTAGCAACCCTTCCCGGCGCCCGGGGAAAACTTTTAATTTTCGATTTGCACTCCCCTCAAACTTACGATTTGCACCCCCCCCTCTCAAATTTCGATTAGCACATCCCCCCTCATATATTTTTTATATTTATAAATCAGCTAAAATGAGATTTTAATTTGTTTTTCCAACCCGTTTTGGCGCCCCCTAAGGTCGGCGCCCGGGGACATATGTACCCCCTGCCCCCCCCCCCCCCCTTCGCTACGCCTCTGCTACACGGAGAAAAAGCTGACGTGCAACGTGTATTTTGTGCGCGCGTTGTTCTAAAATTCATGTACATGGATATATGTGTTTAACAAAATGACTGCGCGGCAAGTTTAAAACTACTGAGGGAACACTGTCGGCAAGACAGTTTTTAATCTCTCTATGCTCCGATTTCAGCATGCTTTTGAATTTTTGGATTTGCTTCCATAGCCTTTGTCCGTCCAAGAACAAAACTGCAAGGCAGCAGTTGTTTGATTTTAGGACGTCAATCCTAGATAGTTTGCTGCCCCCAGGTATAGAGCCTCATCTGCCAGGGGATTCGAACTCGGGAGTTTTCAGTTTGGCAACCATGAGCTGTACGACTCTACAACGCCAATCTCTCTCTACCAGTGTTTCTTCCCGAATTTTTTCTCCGGGATGGGTGGGTGGGTGGGTGGGTGGGGGGGGAGGGAGAGCGGAGACTGGCAAAAGTATGTTTTCTAAATAAATTCCAATTCGTTCAGGTGGGGGGGGGGGTAGACCTGGAATAAACTCTGCTCTCTCCTCTCTCTTGCCTTACACAACGAGTAGATCTACAGTCTACACCTATGGTAAGAGAACAGTTAATGTAATCAGAATTAGAGGTAATGAGCCCTATAGGCGGCTTTACTTTCTAACGTCTTATAGGGCTTTAGTGTTGTGATCGTTAGTAGTTAGAAGGGTCATCCATAATTACCCAAATGAAATTAAAAATTTCATATAGGAACCTATAAAATAATCAGTTAATGCCACTCACCCCCTTATGATATTTTAATAAGTAAATAAAATAAAATGACAGGGGGGCTAAATTTAAAAACTTTTTAACAATCAAAGCACGTTATCCCATGCATTAGGACAATTATGTTGTTACAATAAGGATGATAAAAAATACCTTGCCATTTTCTAATTAATTTTGCGAAACCAAAAGTTTCACTACCGGGTTAACTAATGGCGGGTCACGTAAAAGAAAACAAAACAATAATCTTTACTACTAGTCACTAGTGTGCTGATTTCTGTGTAGGCCCTAATCTTTTTAAATTATTTATTTTATAGCCTAGTAATAATAATTAGTAACACTTTAATTCATAGTCCTATAAATCTAGATTAATTTCAACTCAGTAGCAAGTAGAGTCAGTAGAGTAGATCTCTCACACTCGCTGTCACTGTCACTCCGACTGTCTGCTAAGCTCAAGTCTGCTATGTGTGATTTATTTGTAGTATTTTCAAAATACTATTTTGCGTGTGAGCGAGCATTAAATTTAAACAACTTTTACTTTTGTCTTTTATTCATATTAATATTAGTATATTAGCCTGTTCACTATTTATTGGATTTGGGCTTTCGCCTAGCTAGACCATAGTCATGGCATAGTCATAGAGTGTATAGACTATAGAGGCATAGTGATAGGTGATAGATAGGCCTATTCTATTTTTACTATTTTAATTTTTATAGACCCTAGGCCCTAATTCAAAATTCTAGTCACTGCTGCTGCAGCCCAATGCACTCTTCAAACTTGCTCTTGATTTTTGCAATAAACAGAACATTGGTCATTGATTCATTAGTAATAAAACATATAGTGTTACCTCACAAGTTAAAGACAGTTACAAATACTATGGACGTTTCGATCCAAGGTCTTCGCCAGTACGCAACAGTATGGAAATGGTTACAGATTAGACAGAAAAGACAAACAGTAACACAATTTTGGACTTAGCTCGACAGTGAAAACACGTGTTGTCTAATTGCCACGATATCCAAAAGAAAAGACTCGTGAAGAAGGACGCTTGGACACTGTTTAGGCTTGGGGGCGTGGTGTGTGGGGGCGGGGGAAGGTTGGTTAGGTGAAAGATACCTATTCATTGATTTATTGGTTTCCTTTCTAGATTCTAGATTTATATATATTTTTAGGCCCGTACTAAAATATTGTTATAGTTATCCAACCCACTTACATATGTGGGTACAGCTTTTAGAACATGAGGTGGAGCAAAATTAAATTATATTACCTACAGTCTTTTAAATGGCAGTTGTGGCTTTAGATTACTCACATGTGTTTTTTCTTATCAACTATTATAGATTGTTCTTGGCAATGTCAGACATAACCCTTCAAGAACTACGCAAGGGCCTAAAAGAATGGGAATCAGCATTCTTCACAGTTCACAGGCGCAAACCAGACAAGGTAACACAAACATAGTAGTAGGCCTATAGTATAGGCTACTTATTACCTGGCTATTAAATTTTTTTTAAATTTTAATTTTTAACAAAAAATAAAAATGAAACGTGCATGAATTTGAATTATTGGTTACAGTTGCTAGTTGAAGGTGAAAAAGGAACTTGTGTTGGAATAATTTAATTTACAAGAATTTAAATCTAACTTTTAATGGGTTTTGATTTCAGACTGATATAAGCCAGGCACCAAGTGATATTAAAGGTAAGTGAACCTATGTTTTATACTGGTGTAGGTGCACGCTTATTATATTGTAGGACACAATTTCAGATAAAAAAATTCAGGGTTGGTGTATCATATAGTCATATAGACCTACTGGTTATTACTATTACCATTATATAATATTATTGGTACTGTTAGAGTTATTGCTTATTTATATTAAAAAAGTGTGTTTATAGGATATCAAAGGTGAAACCTTCTAACAGTATTTGTTAACAATTTTATCTACATTTTTTTCTTCATAGTAGTTTTAAAATTACAGTATTATTTAATTTTAAAAATCTTCACAGAAAAGTACAAGCTTTATTTCCAAAGAAAGAAAGAGGGGAACATGGGGAATGACTCTTTGCTGAAATCAGTAAGTGTACTTAACTTACCAATATATGTATTTACATCAATAATTGCAAAAAATAAATAAAATACAAATGTAAAATTAGGTAAGCCCGTATAATTATTTGTGAAAAAAATTCTGCTTTTGGACCTCTTGTTTTATATTATAGTGTAGTGATGAGTTATTTTATGTTGTAGTGTGGGGGTGGACTCTATAAATGATTTCATAGCAATGTATCGGAAGAACCAAGTTCAACAACTCTTTTACAGCCAGAGATATCTCAGAGTGAAGTCTGGGGCGCGGAGTTCAACAAAAAGCCAAAGTCTGACAGCCCTGCAGCAACAGCTACTGCAGCTCCCACCCCTAGAGCCACGCTGGACAAACTTGGTGGTAAATTATTGAGAAATTTGGCCACAACTCCAAAAGAAACATGGAGCAAGAAGAAAATGAAAGGCGTTTTTAGGGTAACTAATTAAACTTTCTTCCTCTTTCTTCATTGTAATGTTGGACAGGATTTCCTACAACACAGTTAAGTATCACATATCCACATGTCACAGGCCATATTGGGCTTTTCTTTCTGGATTTGCCTCCATAGCCTTTGTCCAACCAAGAACAATCTACAAGGGAGCAGTTGTTTGATTTTGGAGTTTTTTTTTTTCCTAGATAGGTTAATGTCCCCAGTTATTGAGGTTTTAACTCGAGACTTTTTGGTTTAACAACCATGAGCTGTACCGACCCGGCCCCACGACCCCTAAATTAATTAAACTGATGATAAGCTTTGTCATAATAATAATAATATCTTGTTATTATTATTTAATTTTTTTATTTTCTGACTATATGTTAACCTCCAATCTAATTGTAGGGCTATACATATTTTTATATGTTACAGTATGTATTATCCTTTTTTTTTGCCAGAATTCAACATCTGAGGTGGCTGCTCAGCAAGATGAATGCTCAGCATCTTCCAACACAAGCACCCCTCAGTCTGACAAAATGTCCAGTCAGCATCTGGGCTCTGCTGGACCATCACAGGACCAACCTGACGGTCACGATGATTTCGCTCTCAAAGGTGACATCTTTAAAGGAGCAGCCAAGCTGATTGGTCGATCCAGCTTCGAAGGCGGTAAAAACTCTCTGACTGCCAAACCGAGGTTGTCGTTTCTCTCAAGAAAGTTATTCCGGCAGTCGGACACTGGTGCCGGGGGTGAAGCGGAGGATAGTTTTTCTAAAGAGGCAAAAAATTTCTGTGACGATAGTATGGAACATGAAGATAAGCCTGACCATGATTTTAAAATCTCTGAACGTCCAAACACCATAACAGACGCTGAAGGTTCAGAAGACAAGGACACCAAAAAAATTATTGACCAGGATTACAGCAATGAAAAGATATGTAGTGTTCAAAGGTCAAGGCTGTCATTCGTCTCAAAGGTCAGTTGTTCAAGCCCAGTCACAAGTTCACCCAAACCGCGCGAACACGACTCTGTGAATTTGGATAACATTCAGGATACTTTCTCATTAGGGCAGGCTTTCTGCAAGCCTGGGGATAAACCAATCAAAGATTCCAGTAGTAAATCTACTTCATCTTATTCCTATGACTCCTTTGCTTTCATGGAAAATATAGAGGGTGACAGTATTAGCAGTGATACTGCAGTGTTGGCTAAGGCTAAGCCAGTCGCTGTGAGAAGAAATAGAAAAAAACTGGGACCTCCGGATAAAGGTGCTGCTGTGACAGATGGTGACGGTGTTGCTGGTGGTGGTGGTGGTGTTGCAGATGGTGTCAAGGCAAAGCCACCTAGAAAAGGTGTTAAAAGAAAACAGGAGACATCTGGAGATCAAGCAGTTGGTGAAGAGGTCAGTATGTGGGGATTGTTTCAATTATAATATAGTTTATAAAAAAATAATAGACCTCAAAGACTTAAGAGATTAAATTCTTGTGCTGTACTCTATTGAAATAGTTTCCGCATAAAAGTAAAGTAAAGTTTCCTTTCAAACCTGCCGGTCTATAGGGCAAGTGAAGTTCACTTGTTTTTGTGACCTCGGCATATGAAGATAGTTTGGTCAGCACTATGCCAAGCCGCCTTTACTTTCCCTAACATGAGTTAGGTACCCATCAGAGTTGGGTGGACTCAGGGGCTCTACTGACTTTGAACCCGTATTTGAACTTGAGACTTACGGGTTAGCAGTCCAGCTCTCTACCGCTAGACCACTCCATCCCCTAGTTTCTGCAAAGGTGTGTTTTATATCTTGACCTCACATTTAATGACATGACAGTCAGTAAAGCAAATTATTTAGAATTTTGGGTCTTGCATGTCTTGCTATTTTAACAAAAAGTTATAATATTTGAGCTTGCAGTTATATATTGTCTCATTGTTTGCGCTGTTACATAGTCTTACTATTTCCTTCACAAAGGTACATATTGTCTCACTATTTGTGCTGTTACATAGTCTTACTATTTCCTTCACAAAGTTAAATATTGTCTCACTATTTGTACTGTTATATAGTCTTACTATTTCCTTCACAAAGTTAAATATTGTCTCACTATTTTTGCTGTTACATAGTCTTAATATTTCCTTCACAAAGTTACATATTGTCTCACTATTTGTACTGTTACATAGTCTTAATATTTCCTTCCCAAAGTTACATATTGTCTCACTATTTTTGCTGTTACATAGTCTTAATATTTCCTTCACAAAGTTACATATTGTCTCACTATTTTTGCTGTTACATAGTCTTAATATTTCCTTCACAAAGTTAAATATTGTCTCACTATTTTTGCTATTACATATTCTTAATATTTCCTTCACAAAGTTACATATTGTCTCACAGTCTTACTATTTCCTTCACAAAGTTACATATTGTCTCACTATTTGAGGTAAGAGTTACTTACAATATTTGATCTGAGAGTTACACCATTATTCTCCAGCCTATAGAACAACAACACACTGCAGGGGATGGATCTAGTGATAATAAAACCATGGCAACCAAAACAACAGTCACTTCAGGCAAGACACCTGGCAGGTAGGATGTTTAAATTTTTTTTAGACTGATTTCTTTACTCTTGTGTGTTTAAGGTAAGTACTGGATAGCAAAGCTGGTGTATTGCCAGACTGTATTTTAGTTTTCCTGCGTGAAGTTTCAAGCTTAATTAAACCTATTATATTTTCACTTTTAAAATACTTATTTAGACACGTTTCTCTGGAGTAGTATTCTATGTTGTTAATTTAAAAAGTTGTATCGTAAAGTTACCCTTTCTGAGCTGGTGATCCATGGGACAGATTCAGTAAAGTTCACCTGTTTTTGTGACCCTCATCATAGTATGATTAGCATTATACCCAGCCGTCTTTATTTACCTGAATGGAGTCAGGTACCCATCAGAGCTGGGGGGGGACTCTCTGAGGCCCTGCATTCTTGAGCCTGGGATCCGAACTTGAGTCTTTCAGGCTGGCAGTGTTACTTCTACCATCTGCCCACGCTGTCCCATCAACATGGTTAATATTAATAAAGACCTTCTATTTGTTGGTCTAAGAAAATTAAGTTTGAGACATTTTCAAATATGTTGCATAGAGGTCTGTCATGAAAATTAAGTCTCTTTTAACAGTGTTTGGCTTATGTCCCTTAAAACAATGTATTCAATATAGCTTATCTAGAATATTAAGTCTCTTAAACAGCTTATCATAAAAATAATAATATACTTTTGATCTACTTGTAATATGAAACAACTTATTATAAAAATAATTGACTTTTGTTCTACAAGTAATAGGAAACAACTTATCATAAAAATAATTGACTTTTGATCTACTTGTAATAGGAAACAACTTATCATAAAAATAATTGACTTTTTCATCTACTTTGAACAGAAAACGGAGTGCTGCTGCTATGAATGAAAACTATGTTTGTCTCAACATGAAGCGGAAGGGCTACAGAAGAAAGGGTGGGTTATGAAATCCTGTTACGCTTATAATTTAAAAAAGCATAAAAAAATCATTCAGTTGAATTAATAAAATTTAGATAATTATGTTTTGGAGTAAATAAGTATCTTGTGTTTTCATGTCTGTTTAGGTGCCGGGATGACAGGCGCTCAGTTGCGAAGGAAACAATGGAAATCCAAAATGGCAGCCCGCAGCAAAAGTTTTGGCAGCAACAAGTGTTTTAAATGTGGCCAAGAGGGCCACTGGGCCAACAAATGTAAAGGTGATTAGTTTTTGTTATTATTGACTTAATGGAACAATGTGGTTGAGTGGTAGAGCATATGCTCCTCTTGTTGTCTGGTTGACTTCCAAAAACCCAGCTCAGGTAGGTAGTTACTGGGTTAGGGAAAGTATAGATTGATTGGTGTAGTGCTGACTACACAATCTCTTCATTGACCATAAAATCTCTATACTGACCATACAATCACTTTGCTGACCACAGAATGTCTTCCTTAACAACAAAATTTCTGTTTGCCGAGGTCACAGAAACTTACCATCACATTTTTATAAGCAATATGAGTTACGATATACATTTCTTTTTTCTTCAACATTTAATTTATCTTTACACAGTGGCGTAATGTGTTGGTGTAAATCAAAATTTTAATTATTCAATAAAAAACTACCCAGTCATTTATTTTCTTCTAGCAATGATTTAAAATAAATTTTGTGTACAGGTAAATCAAGCTTTAGTAAAGAGGCGAATAAAGAACCTGAAGACGACATGCCGCCAGTAGAGGAAGCAGAGTTTCCAAGTCTTAGAGAGGCAGCATTGATGAGTCGAGGAATTAAAGGTAAGATTTAAAAAAAAAATTATTTTTAGCTCGTTACACTAACTACCTTGTGGGTCACTCTATTAACATACCTGTCATCTTGTAAATTAAAAAAAAAAACTAACTTCATGCACTTAAGTTTTTTTTTAATCTGCATTTTAAATTGTCTTGAATGTGCCTAGTGTATATAAAATGTTCCATATGACAGCCACACATCCATGTCAATATTTTACTCACACATAATATATAGTATGTCACACATTGACAGACAAGTCAACTATTATATAGTAAAATTAAAAAGCATTATAAAAACATTGACAGGCAATAAAATTATAAAGAACATTGACAAGCCATACAGTACATTATTTCATCAAAATTATAAAATGGTATAAAAACAACAATTTAAGATGCAATATTCACATACATTTCATGTAGCATTGACACATATAAAGCACATTTCATAAAACATTGGTAAAATAAAAACACCAATATGTAAAGTATGTAGTCATAACAGTATAAAACATATTTGTAACATAGGTAAAGCTAAAACAATCATATTTATAGACATCAACAAGTATGCAGTCATAGCAGTGTAAAAATATTTAACATAATCTTCATTTATACCTTATCCCCTATACTTATTTAGAGAAAGGTCCTTGTTGGAGGGAAGGTAATATAAGGGGCAGAAAACTAATAGTGCTTTACTATTAAGTTATTTAGTTTTGATTTATTTCATAGATGCATTCTCCTTAGCAAAGATGCATATTATATAAATTTAGTCAGCTTAACCCAAAAACAGCTTTAATTAAACTATTTCACTGAAATTATTTTACTTTGAAAAAAAAAAAAATTGTTTTCAGGGGAAGCAACTTAGAATATTTAACCTTACCATTTATTTAACAAGTGCTCTCCCCTATCTCAATATATTCAAAACTTACCAATTTTAATCTATCGACATTGACGTTCCAGGCAAGAATTATTAGACTTAATTATATACAGCATCTACTCTTCTGCTAATTAAAAAAATAATTTAATTATATTAATAGTCTACGAATTTGTAAAAATAAATAAATTAAAATTCCACCAGCGCAGTAGAATCGTTCACACCACTGCAAACCTATACAAATATCCGCACGTTCAGTCTTTGGTAAATCCCGGTGACGCTGGCGATGACGTGCTAGCTGTTTCGTCGCTGGGCGTCGACTTCCGGTAGCGACGCTCCAACGCCTTCAGTTTCTCTATGGCTTCTTTGATTTCTGGGAACTCGTCCAGCCGGGATTGTTTTTTCTCGCCTTGCTCACCCTCTTCGTCGTGTCGGCACCGTCGGTGGTGGCGCCAGCCGTCGCATGGGGTGGGGGCGTCGGGGAGGCGGTACCGCTGGTTGGCCGCCACGCCGGCGTAGACGCCCACGAGGAAGAAGAAAAGACGCCCGAACATGCTGCCGCCTCGGTGGTAGTGACGTGTTGCCCAGTGGGGGTAAGGGTTACAGTCGGGGCTGTAGTAGTGGTACCTGGGGCTAGTGGTAAAACAGGGGGTGTTATATAGGTCTCTGTGGGGGTAGGGGTTCCAGTAGGGGCTGTAGTAGTGGTACCTGGGGGAGTGGTAAAACAAAGGGGTGTTATATAGGTATCGGGGGGGGGGGGGAGAGGGGCAGAACAAGAGGGTGTTATAAAAGTATCGGGGGGGGGGGGTAGGACAAGGGAGGTGTTATAAATGTATCTGTGGGGGAGGGCAGAACAAGAGGGTGCTATATAGGTCTCTGTGGGGGTAGACCATGGGTGTTATAAAGATATCTGTCGGTGCAGATTAAGAGTATGGGTGGGGGGGGGGGCTAGAACAAGACGGGTGTGTTTGAGGTGGGAAGGGGGGGGGGCGGTTGTTGGGGTTTAGAATAAGAGGTGTTTAGTGGTATCTGTGGGGTAGTATAAAGGGGTGTTATTAAGGTATCTGTGTGTGTAATAAGAGTTTTTTTTTAAAATTAGTATCTGTATAGGGCGGGGATAAAATTAGTGTTCTAGTAGTTTCTATGGGTGGGGGTGTGGGAGTGTGTAGAAAAAGATGATATTGTAGTGAGGTGGGTGTGGGATTGAAGATAAAATAGCAGGATTTCTTAATGGTACCGGCGGTAGATAGATATAGATAAAATGAGTTGATATTAATCAGAACGTATCGTATGAGTAACGATAGTTCATAAGTTCATACCAAACTTAAGACGAAGTTACCATACACAAAACTGTAATGGTTGGATGTGTATTTGATGCCAATAAGTAAATGATTTTTAATTAAAACATGTAACCAAAATGAACTTTTAATTTGCGCTGCTCATAATTAATAGGATTATGTGTTGTCTTTATTTTCGTTTGATTTCTTAATCCCACCCCACCCCTTTCTCCTTTCATTAGTGAGTACAGTGCATAGAGGATAAAAAAATATAAAACTAGGTTAATTGCAAGACGTTTGGGTGTAGGTTTAACTAATAGTCTAGATCTTACAGGAATACCATAAGATGCAGTACTATTATGTAGCATCTAACTGGTTGTATATTGTTACTAAATTCTAGACTAGATCTTGATCTTCTAGGGGCTTACTAGATCTAGTAAATAAGTATAGAAGTCTAGACATAGATAGATAATCTAGATCTAGATCTAGAACTTAATAGTAAATAATAACAGGCATAAAACCAATGCGGGGTACCTATTGCTTTAAGTTAGATCTAATATTTCCATAATATAAACTGTCAAGTTTCATGTAATTAATTCTAATGCAGGCACGTTTATAGTTAATCATTTAGAATCTATAATTTATATTAAATTGAAGAAAAATAACGAATAACAATCGCAGTAAATTCATTTACCTTTTCCAACTCATGAAACGATAGGAAACTCCTCCAGGTCAAAGGTCGCTTTTGTTTCTGTTCAAAGTGTAGCCTCAAGTTTGTAGACTTTTAATCATAAAAATAAATGTTGCTACGCATAGAAGTCTTTATAAATTAATGCACACAACCGATCGTGTGGTTTCTTCTGTGTATGTTAATGATTCTAAAATGCCTACCCGAACTTTTTATACACACCAAACTGATGTAACTTTTTAGAAGGGTTTCCTCAGCGCGTTACCAATGGCGTATTTTTAGAAGCGTGACCTCGTTTTCAGGCCACACTTTTCGCTTATCTGTTTTGTGATTGGATCATGTAAAATTCGACGCGTGTTGCGTCAGAAAAAAATCCCAACTCAAAACAAACTTTTAACGCACCTCAAGATTTGTGCTATCGAGCAGGAATAGTGCGTAGTCATTCATGTAATTTACAGATCTATATGTACATTAATTTGTAGTAAATTAATTTATTTATAGATCTAGCCTGCGTGCTGTTGTTTTAGGGGCGATGATTTATTTTCACACTTTTGTGTATTGTTACATTGAAGCTTGTTATTTAAACTTTTTTTTATGCATTTTTAAAATCAAACAATTCTCAATACACAAACAGAAATAACATGATTTTAAAACTGTTGTAGGCGACTGCTAAAATAGTTTGCTAAACTCTGAAAACAGGTTGGTAGGTGTGGCGGGTTGTTATATTTAGGTGGTCAGGTTGGTTGGTGTGGCGGGTTGTTATATTTAGGTTGTCAGGTTGGTTGATAGGTCAGGTTGTTATATTTTGGTGATCAGGTTGGTAGACGGGTCGGGTTGTTATATTTATGTGGCCAGGTTGGTAGATGGCGGGTTGTTATATTTAGGTTGGTAGGTTGGTAGGTGTGGCGGGTTGTTATATTTAGGTGGTCAGGTTGGTAGGTGTGGCGGATTGTTATATTTAGGTTGTCAGGTTGGTAGGTGTGGCGGGTTGTTATATTTAGGTTGGTAGGTGTGGTGGGTTGTTATATTTATGTGGTCAGGTTGGGTGGCGCGTTGTTATATTTAGGTGGTTGGGTTGCTGATGGCGGGTTGTTATATTTAGGTGATCAGGTTGGTAGATAGGTCGGGTTGTTCATATATAGGTGGTAAGGTTGATCTATTAGCGGGTGGTTTAGATTGATATATGTGAACGGTTATTGCATATTTGCCACTGGCTGTAACATTCAGTTGTAAAAGATATTATGATCAGTGGCGTAGCGAGGTCGGGTGCCACCCGGTGCGGCACTTAATGGTGTCACCCCCCCCCCCCCCAGAGGCGTAGCGAGCCTTCCCGGGGACAAACTTTCAAGTTTTCGATTTGCACCCCCCCCCCCTCAAACTTTCAATTTGCACCCCCCCTCAAGTTTTTCTCTATATATTTTGCTATTTTTTGCCTTGGTGTCACCCCCCCCCCCCCTAAATGGTGTCACCCGGTGCTGTCCACACCCCCCCCACCCCCCCCCCCCCCCTCGCTACGCCCCTGATTATGATATACAGATCGACCGTTGCCTGTCCAAATATCTCGCAAAAAAACAAAGAAAAAAAAATGAATATACACCCGAGTATATAATAAAATGTTATTCCTGAAAAATATATTTAATTAGCTAAAATATTTCCAGAGTAATATCTTTTTTTACAAGTTTTTATTTAACTCGCTTCCTCTGTCGTCAGTCGTCAGTCGTAAGTCTGTCTGTCTACAAATTATTTCCTCTCGCTTGTTATTGTTCTATATCCAACTGGATTTCTTCTACCTTCTATCTCAGGTATTGGAGCTAAAAAACGGGGGTTGTGACCCCCTCGGGATGACACGCCCTTACTCTAGGGGACGGAGCGTGATTATATTCTCCCATGGGCGTCTGGACCTGTATGGTAGGGTAACCAGTGGCTCTACTTCCGGTTTACAGGAGTGGCAATGGCTCGGGGCAGGGCGAGTCGTACAGCAGTACAAACTTGTCAGACATACAGGCTACAGACCTACTTTTTTGTGACATTTTAAAGGCTACAGGTCTACTAGTTATGTGACATTTTAAAGGCTAAAAACCTACCAGTTATGTGACAATTTCAAGGCTACAAGCCTACTTGTTATGTAACAATTAAAAGGCTACAAGCCTACTTGTTAGGTGACAATTTCAATGCTAAAGACTTTATTGTGACAATTTAAAGGCTACAAGCCTACTTGTTAGGTGACAATTTCAATGCTAAAGACTTTATTGTGACAATTTAAAGGCTACAAGCCTATTTGTTATGTGACAATTTCAAGGCTAAAGACCTACTTGTATTGTGACAATTTAAAAGCTACAAGCCTACTTGTTATGTGATAATTTCAAGGCTAAAGACCTACTTGTATTGTGACAATTTCAAGGCTAAAGACCTACTTGTATTGTGACAATTTCAAGGCTAAAGACCTACTTGTGACAATTTAAAAGCTACAAGCCTACTTGTTATGTGACAATTTCAAGGCTAAAGACCTACTTGTATTGTGACAATTTAAAGGCTACAAGCCTTTTTGTTATGTGACAATTTCAAGGCTATAGATCTACTTGTATTGTGACAATTTAAAGGCTACAAGCCTACTTGTTATGTGACAATTTCAAGGCTAAAGACCTACTTGTTATGTGACAATTTCAACGCTAAATACCTACTTGTATTGTGACAATTTCAAGGCTAAAGACCTACTTGTATTGTGACAATTTAAAGGCTACAAGCCTACTTGTTATGTGACAATTTCAAGGCTAAAGACCTACTTGTATTGTGACAATTTAAAAGCTACAAGCCTACTCGTTATGTGATAATTTTTCTGTGATACTTCCACTGTGGTGTGTTGTACGAATAAAGTTTACACTTGAAAAAAGTAAATTCTAAAAAGTCATTTTGATTTGTATCAGTATCAAGACACGCTTCGTTGATCAGGAGACTCAAACAAAGGTGTCCTCTGTTACATGAAGAAGCTCAGTTACCTATTTTTAGAAGTTCCATGGCTTCAATAGGCCTAATACTTGGTGACAAATAAAATACAACATTCCAAAAAAAGTTTTAAAGAAAATTTTAAAATTTTAAAAATTTTAATAGTAGTAACAACATGAGATAATAACGTAATATACACACACACACACTCGCACACGCACATGTATATATATGTATATATGTATATATGTATATATATATGTATATATATATATATATATATATATATATATATATATATATATATATATATATATATATATATATATATATATATATAAAGTAAATAAAAAACATATCAAAATATAACAGCAGTAATAATATGAGTTACTAAATTAACAGTTATATATATATATATATATATATATATATATATATATATATATATATAAATATATATATATATATATATATATATATATATATATATATATATATATATATATATATATACTTATGACATTCTTAAGATTATGGTCCGGGTGGTGGTTTCCGTGAAGACATCTCTTTCTTGATAGCCTGGGCTAACTTCTGCACCTGCTCGTTCAGTTTCCGAATGCCTTCCTCCGAGGCCAGATCTTTGAAGCAGCACTGGCAGAGCTTGTCACTGTGGTGGCATCGGCAATGATGCCGGCGGCAACAGCAGAACTTGCAGGTCACCGCGCCGGCAATGAAGCCGAGGGCAAAGCATATCATTCTGATCTTCTTTAAGTTTGCGCCAGGGAAAAGGTTAAAGGTGAAAACAAACCTGATGGATTATGTATGGATGCTGATATATATATATATATATATATATATATATATATATATATATATATATATATATATATATATATATATATATATATATATATATATATATATATATATATATATATATACGTGTGTGTGTGTGTGTGTGTGTGTGTTCATATTTGTATATGTATAGAGGAGCAGGACATTACCACTTCGGACATTTCCCCCATGTCAATTACCCCCCCCCCCCCCCCACACACATCCTCGTTATGAATGGGTTAGGGCTAGTGTTAGGTTCAGGGTTAGGCTTAGATGAAGGTTCAGAGTTGGGGTAAGGATTAATGTTAGGGCGAGGGTTAGCTATAGCTTTGTGGTTGGGTATTGGGGTTAGGGTCAGTATTCTTCAGCATGCGGAGCGAGGGGGTGGGGGGTAATTAAGATGAGGTAATGTCATGGGTGGGGGGAATTGTCCGGGGGGGGGGGGGGGGGTTGGTAATTCAAGGAAGGGGGGGGGGGTAATATCCTAGACCTTTAAGTACATTCTGTAAACATATACTCAGATTCTACATCTACGTAATGTGTTATGAGTACGAATTCTAAGAAACTCCGGTTACAAATTTATTTGTAAATATTGACTTGGTTTACAACTTCGGTAAAAACTTGTATCTTTGTACCGGAAGATTTAACCTAGCTGTATGTTAAATTACTCTAGCTTCAAGATACATTTGCTATTGCTGTGAGATAACTTACTCTACCTGAAAGATAACTTTCTCTATCTGTATGATAACCTAACTGTATGCTAACTTAACCTTGCTGAATGATAACTTAACTTAGCTCTATCTCTAGCTGTATGATAACTTACTCTAGCTGCAAGATACATTTGCTATAGGTGTATGATAACTTACTCTAGCTGCAAGATACATTTGCTATAGCTGTATGATAACTTACTCTAGCTGCAAGATACATTTGCTATAGCTGTATGATAACTTACTCTAGCTGTAAGATACATTTGCTATAGGTGTATGATAACTTTCTCTAGCTGTATGATAACTTAACCTAGCTGTATGACAACTAATTAGCCTAGCTGTATGATAACTTTCTCTAGCTGTATAAGTTACTCTAGCTGCAAGATACACTTACTCTAGCCTTAAGACAACCTACTCTAGTTGCTACATAACTTGCCCAAGCAGCAACATACACTTACCCTGACCCATCATCTGACCCTGACCCATCATCTGACCCTGACCCATCATTTAACCTTGAGCCTAATACTGACCATTACAGCGATACTCGCATCAAACTACCTTGATCTTATACTACATCATACAAGTTCATACCTTGTGTTTATATTAGTTTTGTTATTCACACAACATGCAGCAATTCTACATGCGACATCTACACTATTTGAACAGTCTAGTACAGTGGTTCTTAACCTAGGTTCAATCGAACCCCAAGGGTTCGGTGAGTTAAGTCTTATGGGTTCGACGGAAGCCAAGACACACTTCCGACTCATACGATTCAGGGATTTAGTCAGTGCGGACGATAGAAAAGAAAGGTTCGGGGAGTATGCAAATGGGACTGGTGGGGTCTGGTACCCCCCAAAAGTTTGAGAACCACTGGTCGAGCATGTTCGCAGCGTATGTGAACTCAGAAATCCCGCATTAGCGTGGTCGGGTATCTATAAAGTTTCCGGCCCTGTCGTAGATACCCCCACCCCTCCTCCGTACCTCTACATTAACTCTAACACCGGTCTTAACTCTATAACACATCTCGACTGTGAAAAAGTAAGTAACGTGTTACTATTGGTACGTACATTACCCCGCCTGATGACGACAGAAGTACTCACAGTCGCCATACGTCACGTGAACGGTGAGCTAATTACCTTTTCCGGATCATAACGTTTTCATCGACTGTTCAATAGGTCATAGGTCCTCACAGACTTGAGCCTGCTTCAGTAGGTCCAAGGTCTTCACAGTGTAGAAACCCCTCGTTGTTCAATAGGTCATAGGTCCTCACGGCCTTGAACCAGCTTCAGTGGGTCTAAGGTCTTCACAGTGTAGAAACCCCTCGTCGTTCAATAGGTCATAGGTCCTCACAGCCTTGAACCAGCTTCAGTAGGTCTAAGGTCTTCACAGTGTAAAAATTCCTGGTAGCTCAATAGGTCGTAGGTCCTATATGTAAAAAAATACTGCGGGTTAAGATTACGACATGTTTTGGAAAAGAAAAAAGCCTTATAGTAATAGTATATCTAACCTTCATTAATAATTCATTAACATTAATCAATAACATCGTCTTTGACCTAATCGTCGGGTTGTTTGGTGTAGTGGTGTGATACTAACGAGACTAATTTGTCACCTAACTAATTAGACAACGTTTACTAGCGGAAGGAGTGAAAAAGTTAATGAACCCACAGCCATCTAAATCAGACTAGACAAGGCTAGGTAAAAATAGATAAGGCTTCATATTTACAGCTACAATTATCATAAGTTAAGCAATATAGTCAAATTTTTATCATATATATATATATATATATATATATATATATATATATATATATATATATATATATATATATATATAACTGTTCGACCCTAATTCTAACCCAGTGGTTCTTAATCTGGGTTCGTTCGAACCCCACGGGTTCGGTGTGTCAGCCCCAGGGTTTCGGCGGAGATCAAGACACCCCCCGACTTAAATAATTCACGATCGAATTTTGCCGGTGTGGACAAAATAACTATTAATAAGTGGTAAATACGTTTATAGAACTGTTGGGGTTCGGCACCTCCAAAAAGGTTGAGAACCACTGATCTGCCCCTTCCTGCAACCCACAACGTTGTCGCGAAAACAAACAGCCATATTGATCTAATTAAGTTAATGCCTTTGCCAGTAAACCCCTACCCCACCATATTTAAAACAGTCCCGTATTCTGTTATTTTCTCAAACGTATTTAAATATTTTCCAAAACACTCTCTGTAGAATAACAATAAACAAATTCTTACCGTGAACACCCAAAATGAATGAACGAACAACGTAGCTTTACCATTAGCTTGATGACTTGACCTAGGGGTTTTTCCCTGACTCGCTCGTGTTAAAGATGTGTTTCGATGCGTTCACCAGTGGTGTCTTAACGTGCACGCTACTGCCATTGGTGCGCACCGCAGGACTTTGATACAGATGAAGCACCGAAGGTCTCAATTCCGGCGGTTAGTCGTTCTCTTCGGCATCATCAGTTGTCTGTGATTACAGCAGCGTCGCAAGTGTTTCTTTCAGACATTTTTTCTCCGGCGGAGCACTGGAAACATTCGGCGTGTGTGTCGGGGTGGGGGGGGGGGGGGGGGGTGGTAAGTACTTAACTTCGCAGGAGGGGTTCCGGGGAGAATGGGACAACGGTTGGAAAATATTTTTTTCTATTTGAAATATTTTTCTTCTATATTGTTCCAGGGGGGGTGTGTTGCCTGAAAGAAACACTTCTGTTTCCATTTCGTTTAATTACTAATTACTTTTACATACCATACACACATACATACATGATTAGACACCATGACACCATCCGGGATAAGAGTAACACAATGTCGCCTATACATATACACAGTGGCGTAGCGAGGTCGGGTGTCACCCGGTGCGGCACTTAATGGTGTCACCCCCCAGAGGCGCATCGACACTTCCCGGGGACAAACTTTCAAAATTTTCGATTTGCACCCCCCCCCTCACACTTTCGATTTGCACCCCCCTCAAGTTTTCGATTTGCACCCCCCCCCCCTCAAACTTTCGATATGCACCCCCCCCCCTCAAGTTTTTCTCTATATATTTTGCTATTTTTTGCCTTGGTGTCACTCCCCTAAATGGTGTCACCCGGTGCGGTCCGCACCCCCGCCCCCCCCCCCTCGCTACGCCCCTGCATATACATATATATATATATATATATATACATATATATATATATATATATATATATATATATATATATATATATATATATATATATATATATATATATATATATATATATATATTGTTTACTATGTCATACATATTGTCGTTGGCGGATAGAGGGGACGGGACACCAGGGGTTTCCGCATTAAGTATCACCCACCCTAGTGACGCCACTCCCAAATATATTGTTTTATATATGGACGTATTTCTCAGTTCATGTTTATCCTAGACTGACCTAGACTAAACATAACACTTTAAGCTGTTAGATAATTTTAAATACAGCCTAGTACGGCAAGCAGCAGAAGCACAACAATAGATCTTGTTGTTAGTCACTGGGATTTTTTAAAATTTTAAACTATCTTCGTACAGTGATAGCGAAGGTGTTAGACGTAGATGACGTGGGTGTGTAACATCACCCGCCCTGTGCCGATGTTTACAATCTTGAGAAGACAATGGGATGGTGAAAACTTGACAACATCAGTAAGCTATAAGAAAATTAAATTAAAAAAAAAAAACGTTTTTTTTTTGCCAGTTTTCTGTTTATTAGCACCCCCCCCCCCCCACATCCTTGCGTATTCCCCCACATTTTCGCACACTTTATAACCCGGCGTTTTTATTCGTTGTTCGAGACAATGTTCGTGGTCTACGGAAAGTTCGTTCTTCTACGTGTTCGTCTCATGGTGTACCTCTGTCTATTGTGTGCTTAGAGTTTGACGTTTATTTTTTTAAAAGTTTGTTCACATCAATACAACTCCCGACTACGACGGCGTACTTGGCGTTTCGTCGTTTTTTAAAAGTTTGTTCACATCAATACAACTCCCGACTACGACGGCGTACTTGGCGTCTCGTCGTTGGGCGAGGACTTCCGGTTCCAGCGAAATTTCCGTTTCACCTTTTCGATGGCTTCTCTGATTTCCGGGTACTTGTCTGGCCTTTCCTCACCTTGACCTTCCTCTGTGTCGTGCTGACCCACTCCCGATGACGTCAACGATGACGTACGTTGTGTTTCGTCATTGGGCGTCGACTTTCGGTTCCAGAGAAATTTCGGTTTAAACCTTTCGATCGCTTCTTTCATTTCCGGGTACTTGTGTGGCCTTTCCTCACCTTGACCTTCCTCCGTGTCGTTTTGATCTACCCCTGATGACGTACCTTGCGTTTCGTCATTGGGTATCGTTGACTTCCTGTTCCAGCGAAATTTCGGTTTTACCTTTTCCACCGCTTCTCTGATTTCCTGGAACATGTGTGGCTTTTTCTCACCTTGACCTTTATCTTTCTGGCATACTAATGATAATGATGACGTATTTCGTGTTTCGTCGTCAGGTGATGGTTTTTGGTCACGGAGAAATTTAGATTTTACCCATTCCATCGCATCTTTGTTTTCAAAGAGCCTGGTTGACCTTTTCTCACCTTGACCTTTCTCCGTGTCGTTTTGACCTAATCCCGATGACGTCAACGATGACGTACTTTGTTTTTCATCATTGGGCGTTGACTTCCGGTTCCCGTAGACATTCATTTTTACCCTTTCGATCGCTTGTTTGATTTCCAAGCGCCTGGTTGACCTTTTCTTTTCCCTTTCGATCTTCTTCTTCTTTCTTCTTCTTCGTTCTTAATTATTAGTGTTGAAGGGGATCGAGATTTATCTGCCAGTGGGTTTGAACTCAAGACTTTGTACGAATTTATCAATAATGAGCTTTTTGCCGACTCGACCACGCCTCCATCACAATTAAGCGTTACGTGTCAACTGGTTATGCGCCATTGAGGCCATTGACTCCGATTTCAGCCTGCTTTTCTTTTTGGATTTGCTTCCATAGCCTTTGTCCAACCATGAACAAACTACAAGGCAGCAGTTGTTTAATTTTGGAGTTGTCTCTCCTAGAAGAGTGGCTGTCCCCAGCTAACGAGCCTCATCTGCCCGAGGGTTCGAACTCGAGACTTTTCGGTTTAGCAACCATGAGCTTTACCGACTCGACCACGCCGACCCCTCCCTTTCGATCGCTTCTTTGATTTCCAAGAGCCTGGTTGACCTTTTCTT